TAAAAAAATGTGAAAGAAAAAAAAAGAATTTATAGAGCAAACAAAAAAGTTATTTTTACCTTTCTTTTAAGCTAAATCTCACACATAGATTATTTATATATAGCTTAAAAGATTCCTATAAACTATGAAGTTTTTTTTAATTTTCATTTTCTAAAGTTTCTAATATTGAGACTCTAGCTAAGTTACATGCGTCATCATTTCATATTTTGGTCAAGTTCACGGTAAGACCAAGATTTAGGATGCCAGAACCAAGATTTGGAATGCCAGAAGATACAAATTATATATATGATGTAAATGTTTTCGTTTCATGGTAAAAAAATTATCAATCAAAAAGATTTTAGTTATTTCAAAGATAAAACTCAAAAATTGCAATTTCCGAATTGCCTAAAACAAGCATATACAGTATATACAAATTCACGAAAATATATAAAAACGATAAGAAATTTGATTTTATTACAAATTTGAATGGCAGTATACAATTTAGGGTTTAATTACGGTCATAACTTAAATTGTAATATTATTGAAGAAAATCATTGAACGAATAAATTGCAAGCAGTATGTAGTAAAAATATATATAACTCCTTGCTTACATGCGACATTTATTTTCTTCATACAGTGAAACTTTTTTTTTACCACAATCTTTTCTTGTAATGCTATATCGTTATTTTCTGTTTTGATGATTGTAATAATTAATCTCTAAAATGGTAAAAATAAATAAATAAGGAAAAAAAGAAAAAAAAATGATTAATATTCTCAATACCATTTACATCCATATGAGGACAATGTTTCAACATTTATTTATTTTTTTGTAAAATTGGAAGGAGAAAATATCCTATGACCGAACACCATGACCTAATTAATAATTTAAAAGTTTTAATTTGCTAATTAAAGAATCGATAGTGACTAACAAAGAGTTTATTATAGTAAAAAAAAATTGTGGGTTAATTAAATCGTAAAATATATATGTGGATGATGAACGAACCCTATCATATATAAATCCAAAAGAACATTATGCACCACTCAAAACATATCACCATGCACCACTCACTCATTTAGTCTATACATAAGTGTTTATTTAATTTAAAACATGTGTGATTAATTAACATTAGTAAACCTAACCTTTTACTTTTACAAAATCTTTAATACATATACATAACTTACACGTAATTATACGTACGTATGTTTCATTCTTTCAAGAAAGTGAGAATTACATACCAAAACATGTATATACATTTTGAGATAATTAATAAATGTTTTTAAAAAATCATATATTTAACACGCAATATTAAAGATTCCTTTGGGTGGAGAAATTAAAGAGAAAGGTGAATTTGCAGAGCTTGATTTAGGGCTCGAAAGTGACAACCAAATTGTATTATTGCAGAAGATGGAGAGAGGTGTGTAGATGTTGACGTTATTGGTACATCTCTTACATTTATTTGCCCTAGCTAGTTTCCATCTTCTCTTTTGACTCTTTCTTTAAGTAATTAAATATTTGTTTTGTTTTGATTTTTTATTTCCTTCTTTAATCATACGAAACTCTAAAACTCAAAAACCCATTTTTATATGTAAATAAGTTTTACTAATCTAAGTCACTCAGGTTATTGTTAAACAAATGTTTTAGAATACGTTGTTTAGGAAGTCTTAAATGTCACTTGCACGACATCCTAAATAAAGGTTTTTTAAAAAAACATTTGATTTTTGGTTATCAAATATTAGGAGAAATATATAGTTTCCAATAAAAATCCAACAATTTATATATGGCCAGGATTAAAACTTTTTCAATCGTTTAACAAAAAATATTGGATACTAGATTTAGAATTTTTAGTTATTTTCTAGATTTTCATGGACCTTTGTCATTAGTTTCTTTTCTTGAATAAATTTCACATTAAAACAAACAAAGGATTAAGAATTGTTTCTACCAAAAAAATATATATTAAGACTATACACGGCCATGGCAATGTTATTAATAGCCGATCAACATGGGTTGTTATTATTACAATGAAACAAGAAAACAAGAAAACTATATCTAAAGTAACTTAAGGATATGTTAGAAATTTTAGTAAATTAAAATTAGATTAATATATAGTGTCTATAAATGTTTATAAACTTATATCGGTTATGGTTATATATATGAACTCTTAGTTAAATTAGAAAATGTGATGCCTGAAAATTTTCCCAAGGTTTTATTGTAGTTATAACACAAAGTAAACGTGATATACTAGTTAGGTTGAATTAACATCAATGTTCTTGTAATCGATCATAAAAAAAAATTGTTTTTTCTTGTATTATGCTCACACAAGTTGGCTAATATTAATTGAAGAGTTAGAAAGATATATGTAGAAGTTGTATATATGCTCGACCCTATTTTAGAAACACGTTTTCATAAAGTTAAAAGCACTGGTCGGGTCTAAACATAGCAACCCAATAATACATAGACCAAAATAAATTTTCTTTTCTTAACACAAAAATAACTATAAAAAATGATTCCTTTTCCTATATTTTTGTGTAACATGGTTCATAAAATTAAACCTTTTTGGCACCAAACAGAAAATAAAAGATAATGTAATCGAGGTAAATGAGCTTTTCGTTTGTGAATTTTATTGACAAGACAAATAAATATCAAAGTCACATATTCTTGCTAACATATATATTTATGTACCAACACTGGTCGATGACCAAACTCGCTTTGCTGGTTTAGTTCCCGGGTCTTGTCCAAAAAGCTAGCTTAGTTTCAACTTTCAAGCCAAGTTCTAATAAGAAATGAGATATTCAATATATATTTACTTATACCTAGTACGTGTACAAGTATAGACGACTTGTGAGATCGAGAACTCTAACATCGAGTTCCCTAGTTCTTGGAATCTCTCCAAATCCAACCATCTCCTTGTTTTGCCGTGGACCGATGAAGCAGACATTGTACCAACTCTTGTGCTTGAGGGTTACTTTATGGATCACATATATAAGTAGATGGTAAGCAGGAGAAAATAGCGAAAATCAATCTAGACTATTTGCTGACGGTATCTTTATACCCAAACTATGATACTCGGCAAATAACAACCTAAACTCGCAAAAACAATATCGTTTGTCGGGTATCGTAGTTTGGGTATAAATATACCGCCAGCAAATAGTCTGAGTTGGTTTTTGCTATTTTCTCATGGTAAGCAGACCGGGTTGTTTCGTTCGTTCCTATGTATGATCACATCTGAGGCACTTGTATGATATATATGGAAGACATGACACTAAATTATCTGGCTAACCAAAACATTTTCTAAGAAGCAAAAAAAGAAAACAATCTCTTTATGAGTACCTTGAGAGAATCTTGGATTGCTAGAGTTTTATAACTTATTAGCCAAGTAAAACAGTAACTTCTACTACACGCAACTAAAATTAGCATCAACATATTCTTTTGAAACTAATCAGTCATGAACGAACCTTCGAGGATCATGGCCAAGAGAAGCGCGTGGTTATGAAGAAGTGGGTAAGCGCGTGGTACGTGTAGAATCTCGCGCGTGATTTGTGGCGGTAAAAAGGTAAGATGTCACAGTCTAAAAAATCTGAATGATTGCTTCTTTCTTCTTTTTTGGGTTTTGGAAGCATCTCATTACTACACCCCCTATACTATTTCTAAATTACATATAGACCCCAATGTTTTCATTTGTTATAAAATTAACCCCTTACCTTTTTACTCAGAGATATTCCAAAAAAGAAACGTCCTTTTCATAAAACTGAGGACCCTTTGTATCGTTCAATGAGTCTTTGAGCTGTCTCTAAACTCTCTATGGGCAAAAAAACGATAATTGGGGACCATGTGTTCTGCTTTTCTCAGATGAAGACGAAAGCTTTGTATTCGAAGAAGACAATGTCTTCTAACTGGTGGAACATGGTCCGTTTCTAAATCTTTCTCCTTTCGTCTTGAAAATTTCTGGGTACATGGCAAGTTTGCATCTTGGGACAGCTTCGTTGATCAATGAGGTCGTGTTCGGTTCCTCCTTGATTGGTTTTAGAAATAAACGGTTTAGACGAGTTTCAGAGGTTAGGTTTACAAGCAAAGATACCAATTTCTTATTTGAGTCTTTGAGTTTTAAGTATTGATTCTGTGGATGTTTGGTATTGTAGAGATGGAGGTTTCGTGTTCAACAGATGTCAGAGAAGGAGATAAGGACTAAACATGAACTTGCTCGTTCTGAGAAAAGGTGATGACTTTGTTCTCTGTGTGTAATTGTGGTTAGTGAAAAAGGTTTATGAACTTCATTAATTGCTTAGTTGAATTGGTGCTGTGGAGTTTAGAGTTGAGCCATTTGTGATAAGAATTGTGTGGTTCTGGTGATTAAGTTCTTTATTTAAAGGTGGTTGCTTTGAAAAATGATGGTTTCAGCTTCATCAGCAATTGAACTGTTGTAGTTGCATGAGAACAATCAAAGTTACTTTGAAAGGCAAGAACTTTTGGGTTATTTTGGCAACGTTTCAGTAGAATTTGTCTCTCTAATGTTGCAGAAGCGAGTCTTTGAGACGTATTCTGAAGCAATATGGAGTATCAGTTAGAAATCCTGAAGAGATTAAGACAATTAGTAGACTTGATGACATAAATTTTGAAGAGAAGCTTGACGCTATTGTTCTTTCTTCTGTTATAGATGACTCTAAGATGGTATATCACAGAAGTTATTGTATTTTTCTTGTCCTTAAAATGGTATCATCTGAATTGGGAGAGATCCTGACTTATATTAGTCTTTGGAAAATTGATGAGTACTGACAGAACACAACTGAGGAGTTATCTGATTTACGTCGGCAAGAGAAATACAGTGAGACTGTTAGCACTGCAGATGATCTTTCAGGACCTAATCACCAAAATCTGCCTCATGTAAGAGCATTTATCCCTATTGTCAATTTAATGATTTGAGTTTCCTTTCAGATTCATGTTCTGAACCCTTTTAGTATATTCAGTTTTCTTTCTGTGGTTTGGATCCATGTGTTTAAGCAATGCGTTGGTGGTGCTACTATAAACCCTTGCATTAGATTCTTTGTGACTCAACTTAGGATTGTATACTCTGGGTGTGTTTTCCAACCTGTAACAATGTCTCTCTTCAGTTAAACACAGGTGTTTTGTTCACTTCTCTCATTCCTGTCCTTGGGTTCTCCATTGCATGCATTATTGGGACGCTACACACAATAATCTCCAGAAAAACATCAGATGGACATCACCATGGCTCCAAAAGAACAAGGTGGAGAACCGCATTGATTGATTGGAACGAGCCACTTGCTTCTGATGAAGATGATTTCTCGCCAGAACACAGAGTGAGTTACTTACAGAAGTTCCTACAAATTTGGTTTCAGTTGTTAAAGCAGCTAATTCCATGCAGGTCGCTTCAGCGAATGAGGAAGCTACAGATGAAATGGATGAAGCATATAGCAGAGTGGAGCTTGAGTACAAGAGATTTTTGTTGGAATGTGGAGTGAGTGAATCTTAGATTCTGGTCTCTTGGAGGTTCCTACAAGTAGTTCTTGAGAACCATGGCTGCTTGTGACGCTCTAAGAACTTTTTAGTTTGGTGGTTTACACATACTGTGGGAGTCATACCAATGGATGCATTTACCAGATAAGACTTTGTAAATTGTGAATATAAAGGGTTTAATGCGTATGATTTGAATACATCACTTTGTATGGAGCAAATCGGGAGCATTAGGTAAAAGCTTATAATGAAATGAATATAAAGTATTGGCTCTACGAAAGTAAAAAAAAAATGAAAAGAATTACAAACAGAGAACCAAAACCGTAAGGAGCAAAGATACTCAATGCAAAGGGGGCAAAAAATCCATCCAATAGAAACAATTCTAGAAACTCTGCATTTTGGGGAGGGATCAATTAAATCCGCCGTACATGTCAAAATTCTTGTCGTCAGGTGGTCTTGTGTTGTTGCCACCTTCAGGCACTCTAAAGCTGTCCATTGGAGGAGGACCTGCAGCGGCTGGTGCAGCTGGAGCCACCCAATGTGGAGTGGTCGGAACAGAGAAGTTAGACCCCGAAGCCTCTTGATGTAAGACAACAACATTAGGATTTGCTTGTGGTGAGTTTCCTGTGGTCCTTCGGTTTGAGGAATTTGCAGAGGCTAGAGACGTTGGATATGATTGTTGTTGCTGGTTCTTCATTGGTGATTTGGGCCGCAGCGATTCTATGTCAGGAGTAGTCACAACGAGATGCGGTGCGTCTGGAGGTGGGTTCCTCCCCCCTCCTCCTTGCCATACTTTACCCTCCTTGTCCGCAAAGTTCCTCACATAAGCCTAAAGCACACAATATCCAAAATAGGTCAAACAGATCTTACACATGCAGTCAAAAAAGTTCCTTGCATAATTCCAAAAGCTCATGTAAACAGGAGGTGGGGATCAATGTCTGCACAATGTATTAGATTTTACCTGTGATTCAAAGTTTGAGGAAGAAAGACCTTTTCCAACAGTAAGCCAGCCAGCTCGAATATTGTGGTCTTCGCCAAAAAGCTCAAGCCTCCGGCGACCAAGTGCAAAATGCTCTATTATCCTATACATATCTTCTGGCTTCTGAGTTGAACCTACAGATTTGCAGCATTAAGAGACGTAATTAAGTAACACCTACGACCAATAAATAGTAAGGATACAAAGTCATTAATACTTAGATATCTTTCTCAATGAACGAGCTCACACTGTAGAGAATCCAAGACTAATACAGCAAACTAATCCCATATACCATATTCGAGGACCAAAGGAAATTTAGGGTTTTGGTTTCGAGAAACCCAAAAGCTTCCCTCCCAACAATAGGCCCAAAACCGGTACCAAAACACTCAACACCTTAAATCACATGAAGCAACAATTCTATTTATACACATTTAACAGCTGATGTAGAACTCTTATCATGTTGACTTTAGAAGAAACAGAAAGCTGATAGCAGAACAGAGAGAAGGAAGAAGATATGACAAGCAAAATAGATTTTACTAACCATATGGAGGCTCTTCAGCAATAATTACGTCAGTGTCGATGTTAGCGTGGATTATATGTCCATCAGTGCTACGCCGTACAGTACCCTTTATACCCATCAAGCAGTGCTCCTATACAAAGAGAAACCAATAAAATGAATAAAGCAAAGATATGCAACACAAGAATCAAACGAGGGGACAATAGCAGACCATACTGGACCTTGGAACGCTGAAACACAGTACGAGAATCATGTCGCAAAGTTGGTGCTGCATTACTTTTGTTGGTCTTCACCCAGCAAATATCTTCACACCTTCTGTAACCCCACTGTTACAGACAAATTAAAGAAATATTGATAAAGTGAATACTGTCAAGAAAAATAAAATCCAAAACAATTAAGGAAATGAGAAATTGTTTAAATCATGTACCTTTTTTAGGCATTGGCGCCCTTGCTCAAGCCCAACACCATCGCCAACCCAAAGGAAAAGAAAGGAGGGCGTATCAGCTATTGCCTACAATAAATGGAAAATTTTGCTTTTGTTACAAACCACAATAGCAAAGATGGCAGCCAACCTTACCCCCAAAATCTATATACCAGTCAAAATACTATATTTTCAGTATCACTATTTCCTCTAGCTATTACTCAGATGACAAATGACATCCGTGCAAAATTAGATCTAGTGCTAAGCAGAGTGTAACATCAGTATAAAAAATGTATCCCAAGAGTATGTGTGCACCCTAAAATCCTATGAGCAGTTGAAGGGGGTAAAGAATAGTCACCTCAATCTTGAGATTGATAATGTCTTCAAATGTCCAGTACTCCATACTATCAGAAACACCAGGAGCTCTATGGACATATTCCTCCCACGGTGGGTCAACAAGAATAACATCAAACTTTGTTCCAAATAACTCGGGTGATAACTCAATTTCATGCAAGTCGCCTTTAAAATACATTGGTGCAGAAGCAGAGTTAGATACAATCTCATCCTTCTTCTGTATGAGCTCTCTCAGCTTGGGGTAGTCTTCCACATTGGTAAGCTCCAGCTCCCGGATGAAATTCTGGGGCCGCATTCCAGTATCCACAAAGTTCTGGGAATAGTCATTTTGCTCTCCCCTAGAAGGAGCTTTACCAGGAGGTCCACCACCTCGAGGAGGAACCCATCCCCCTGAATTCTTATCAGATGGCATTCCACGTCCCATTTGCCCAGAAACATTGAATCCAGACGCAGAGAAATTGGGAGGCCCTCCTCTGTCAGAACCTGGTGGATTAAAGAACATATTCGGGTTTGGAGTGCCAATTGAAGGAAATCTTGGACCTGATGGTCCAGGAGGAAGAGGCGAGAGAACAGGAGGAACAGGTAACAAATTACCATCAACTCCTCGGGCCCCAGGCCAGACAAGAGTTGGAGCAAATGGAGGCATGAAGACAGGGGCAACAGGAGCCCCTGGAATTGGCGACATACCAGGAGTAAGAGAATGAATGGGACTGGGTGGTGGCATTCCAAGGTTTGCAAATGGTGACCCCATGATAGGCATTGTAATGGCACCTTGTTGGTTCTCTCTGCCACCAGCAGGTCTTCCTTTCCCACCCCTTAAAGGTCTGTTCCCTCTCATGCCTTGTGGAGTCTGCAGACCTCTATTAGGGGTTTGAACAGAATGGGTGCGACCAGGGGTTGCTCCTCTCTGGTTTCTTGCTTTAGCCCCTGAGTAATCAGAACTGGCTTCACCAGCTTCATCTCTCGAATCCTCCCCATAAGTTCCAAACCCAAAAGTCTCACTTCTCTGTCTACTACCTTCCTGGTTGTAAGCCCACTCTTCATCATTATTAATAGGCTTTTTGGGAGGCTGCTGACCTGATTCAGTCATACGAGCAAAACTGGGTCCTGATTCTCCTCTGCCATAATCAAGTGGCTTGGTTTGTATCTCAATTACATCATAATTCTCATTTGAAACACCACCACTTGACAAAGCTTTAACTGCCTCACCCCTGTTTCCATCTTTCCTACCACTCAAACGACCATGAGACCTCTCGCCTTCACTCCTTTCACGTCCTTGTCTTGGGAATTCCCGTTCCCTGCCACGATCATAAAGTAAGTCCCCATCTTTCTGATCTTTATCACTACTAACAGAATGTCTTCTCTTCCAGTTATCCTTTGAACCTTCTTGATCCCTATCCCTATCAGACCAGCCATCATCCCTACCTCTGGATCTCTCATCTTTCCGACCATATTTCTCCTTGTCATAGTCCACATCCAACTGTTCAGATTCTTGATGACGCTTTCCACTTCTGTCTGGTGTTTTAGACCTGTTAGATCGACCCACTTCTCTCACAGTCTCAGAACCATCCTTACCACTCGTTTTCTTAAGAGGACTACCTCTATCATCATCTTTCACACCTCGACTACTCTTACTCTTCTCCTCTCTACTACTAGACTTCAAACTCCTATCAGACTTGGAATGACTCCTACCCTCACCATGTTCATTACTAACAGAACCTTTCTCTCCACCACTATCATGTCTAGAATCAGAAAGCTTACTACTTTTTAAATCACCATCATTATCCTCACCTTTCTTAACAGGAACAGCAGCTTCATCCCATCTCTTCCTCTTACTCGAATCAGAAGAAGACCCATGAGTTCGTTCTCTCCCATCTCTTTCTCTCTTATCAGAACCCTTGGAATCACGATCTTGATGCTCTGCATCAAGCAGAGACTTGTTATCTTCTTTAATTTTACTCCCACCACTTCGAGAACTCTCAAAGTCCGATGCTTTAAGACTCAATCTCCTCTTCTCACTTCTCTCCCCACCTTCTTGCTCTCCATCTTCATACCAAGTGCTCAGCTTATCCAACGAACTCTCTTCTTGTTTCTTCTTCATTTGATTTCAGGGTGTGCTAACAAAAACCCTAAACCCAGGAAATTAGGGTTTCCACCAACACCACGATCAATTCCACATTCCACGCAACGGTTCCGTTTCCATAACTGAGGCTTCGTTACTTAAAACATCACCGATAAAGTTACGATTTTTCAAATCTAAATAGTTTCAAGGTTACAGATGAAAGTTTTGAGTTTAGATTTAAGAAGATCGGAATATGTTATTCGAGAAGATGAGTGAGTTTGAGAGAGAGAGAGCACGGCGAAGTGAGAGGAACACGAACGACACAAAATCAAAAAGGATTGGGCCAAGCCCATTAATATTGTTCGATCCACTTAGTGTCTAAAAATTGTTGTTACGAAAAATATGATTTTTTTATCAAAGTGTTACAAAAAAAAAATACACAAAACCATAATTTTTAAGAAAACAAATACCTTAAAAAAAGCTCAAACTTGAAATGTGAACGTTGAAATTTTCGATTTCTTAAAATGTTTTTTTTTTAACAGATTATTTGTGCTTTTGTCAAAAATGATTTTTAAAATTTGGTTGATTTCGCATTAAACGGTTATTTTATGTTGACTGTATATTATTTGAAGTACAACGTAAAATCAAAAGAAGTAACATATGCACAAGGTTAAATTTTCTGTTATTTCGAAAAGTTCAAAAATCTTTTACATACAAGAAATATAATAATAATAAGAAGAAAATTTTTGTTTAAGAATTCGTAATTAAGTAATATAATATTTTTAGACGCAGCTTTTGATCCTTATACTTACAGAACATCTTGTGGTTGGATTTTACGAGACAATGACGGTAATCCTAGATGTTGGGAATCTTCTCTTCTTCCAAACTCATCAACACCTATTGAAGCAGAAGCAAAGGCGTTCCTAGCTGCGATTCAACAAATCTGGATTCGAGGATCTCGCCAAGTCTTTTTGGAGAGTGACTGTTCTGACTTAATAGATATGCTTCAAAGGAAAACTCACAATGCCTTAATTGAAGGGATCTGCCGAGATATCTTACAATGGACTATTTCTTTTTCTGATATACATTTTGTCTTTGCTAAGCGTTGTTGTAATGAAGCTGCCCATCTCCTTGCTAAGTTTGGTGTTCTAGATAGCAATTTCTTATGTACGGGTGTTTGTCCACCTCGATGGTTGCAGAATCAATTGTATGCTGACATTATTAATTCTTAATCAATAAAGTTTTTCGTTGAAAAAAAAAAGTAATATAATATTTGTTTTATTTTATTTTGTAAATTTCAAACAAAATTACCAATACAGATCTAAATAAAAAAAGAATTAGAACAAGTTTTGAATCATCCATACCCATATCTTATTGCTTATTGCATACGTTAATGAAAAGTAGTATTGAAATCTAGCGATTTAAAGCGATCCATAAACAATATAAAACGATGTGTGACTGTTGTTAAACGCTAACAGTCACATATGGCGGCATACTACACAGCGGCACATGGTAAGATTTACTGGTGGCCAGCAATAACCAGCAACAGTTTCTGGCCATCTTCTCTTACAAATACCAACACAGTCTGCTTTAACACATTTTCCAGCTTTTTTAGGCAAAAGCCTATTACATGAATCTCCATTCGGATGACGTCCTGTTGCTGGCTTTTGTTTTTTTTTGTATATGAAACATTAAAAATATTAATTATAGGCAGAGTGTAAGTAAATGTGTTGAAATAACCAATTAGTTTTACAGAATAAATTTCTTGATTGTTTTTTTTTGACAAACACAAACAACTGTTACTAAGGCCATAAGTGCTTGCAAGTTTTTTTTATTGGTTTTTAAATTATAGTTTTTGGTTTTTTGGATTTTAGATTTTAGTTTATGGATTTTTAGTTTGTGTTAAAAATCTTTGTTATAAATGAGAAATAGAAAAAATAAATTCAGTCACGTTAAACAAATGAAAAACTGATATATATGGATTTTAGATTTTCTTTACAAACTGACAAAAACCATTAAAATCTAGATTCACAATAGTTTAGGAAAACCATTTTTCTCATAATCTTGACTGGCTATAAAGTAGATTTTTAAAAAAAAAACTAAAACCAAAAACAACTTTAAAATCTACAGCCACTCAAGACCTAAGAAGAATTAAATTATGTGATTTTAAAACTATCATATAAATTTAATTTTTAACTATACAACCTGGGAAATGTGTATATATATTTTTTAAAATAAGTTATAGCACGATTATCTTGGTTTATTAAGTTTTTATATATATATATATATATAATAGATGATCTTTTAAGCGAATGCACACATATTCTCATTTATTTTTTTGTTTATTTCTATATAAAAACATCATTTAATATCCATATAAACACAATTTAACCAATAAAAAGCAATCTGTAGAATATAAATTGTTGAAATGGATAATTAATTTTGCATAGTGAGAAAACCATCTAATTTTTTAAAAAATAAGGCCAAAATATCATTTATTTTAAAACGGAGAGAGTATTATGGAATTCAAAGGTGAAATCATAATTATGACACAAAATATATTTACCACAGTTTAATTGATATCTTGAAGAAATAATTTGGTAATCAAATTTATTACTTTAGAACGGCTACATATAGTATATTAAAATGATTTTTAAATAAATTTACGTACATATGTTAAGAACGGTAAAGATTACTAGAACGATACATGTGAACATAAATAATTTCTTCATCTTAAATGATAGAAATAAATAGATTGTGTTTTGAAAAGTTAATTAGTAGATAGAAAGAAAAAAATGTATATGTATATAGAAGAACTGCATCTTAATCCTAAAATTAGATTTAGAGGGATGTGGTCTTAACACAATTTCAGGTTTTTTTGCTCAGCTCATATGTTATAACAATTAAAAGCCTTAAGACTCGTTCATCTTCTATATATAGAGAGTTAGCTAGCTTTCCTCACTTCTCTTTCTACCACACCTCAGTGTGCACAATCATCATTTAATTGGTTATACTTACGAAAATATCATACTACAAAAGTATATAACAAAAGGCTATTATTAACATTATACTGTATAGTGTTGTAAATAGAAGGATAAATAACTACCAAACAATATCATTCAACTTTTCTTAAGGAAAATGCTACTTTCTCTTAAGGGGGTGTACTAATTTTATAATTTTAGAAGATTTTAGAGGGATTTAAATGGATTTTCAGGATTTTTGGTTGATTTGTTAGAATATGTGTTTTCTTAACAATAAAAATGACAGTAATTTTGTGACATTTGGGGATAAAATATGTGTTTTTTTCTAAAACAAAAAAGGAAAATTGACGCTTCTTAGTTCTTGGTAATTTCCTTACGTATGGAAATGATGAATATCACACTTTTCAAACGTCGAATTATTTTTGCATGATGGGTTAATATACTACAACAAAGTTGTGGTAATGGTTTAGAGAGCAGCATAAGCACTACATCTCTGAAACACTCTTCAGATTACTAACTGATGTCATGTGTTTTCATTGGTTTTGTAGGCTCACTTCTCTTAGTTTTCTTCCATTTGGATTTGCATTGTGGCATACATAAGTGCATTTACATTGCATTTGTCTCGTTGAAAGTTTGGGATTATTATGACATTTTTCCCTAATTTAATCTAACATATTAACAAAAATAATTATTGTCCTTTCACCTATATATGATCTTATTAATATTTTATTTTATCTAATTACATAAGGTCGTTTGGCATAAAATTAGAGTGTATGTATGTAAATTATGCAAATATTGGCATAGTTATTCAAATGGTCGATGTTGGTGTGCAAATCTTGACAATTAAAGTATGGATTATCTAAGGCAAGTAATCGAAGATTCTCTTTATGGAAATACCTAAACTTATGCTAAAGCATGACAATTACAAAAGTGGTCAAAGCCGAACTAACTAAGGATCTAGACGAGCTAGTGGATCAGCGAATGAGCTATTCACCACAACACTATGTACAATATAACGGTTGCCATCATAGGTAATTATATAGTTAAAACTTTGTTCTCATCCATAAACGCATACACATACAAATAACCATACATATTTGAAATTTAATATCAGAACCAATAGAGCTACAAGACTCAACAAATTTTTTCTTATGTTATTACAATCGTAATATAAGTTTTATTATGGAAAAAAAAAACTAAGGATGTACGTCGGAGGCACCGCATAGGTAACATATGCATGTGTTAGGGTTTCTTGTTGGATAGCAAGTACCATGTCTTGTTTTTGGCCATTTCTTCTTACACAAACGATAACAGTCTTCTTTAACACATTTTCCTGGTTTTTTAGGCAAATACCTAGCACATGTAGTTAGCTCGTCTCCCTGCACAAATCCTGTTATTTGAACATATGAAACATTTAAAATTTCAGTTTTCATGACAAAATTCAAAATAGTTCGCGTTTTCGCGTGTAAGTAAATGTTTTTATATAACAAATATATTTACCAAAACACACTTTGATTGTTGTGACAAAACCACAACAAATATTGTTACATATCTTGTATTCATATACAAATATCAAAATACCAAATAAAACATAACTGCATTCATATACAATTTCTGGACGCATGAACCAAAAACGGAAACGAACATTATCTATATATTGCGTCTAGGTACTGTATCTGGATAACGCATCATGTTTACCAAACAAACAGGGTCTAAGAAGTTATTTTAAACTATCATTAAAATTTAATATTTAACCATAAAATAAAAAAAAAAATAAAAAAAAAATAAAAAAAAAAAAATTTAACCATAAAACCTGAAAAACGCATATAATAGATTTTATAAATTTGTAATTTTCAAGTAGCGTTTGGGACGAAACTATATAGTATGGTCTGGTTTCGGGCCTGAAGGGATGTATGAGATTCGGCTGAGAACCTTTTAGTTATTAAAAAGAAAAAATTGAGCTAATGAAAAAGAGGGCTATCTTAGTTATCTTAATTACGAATTTTGTTAATGAAAAGAGGGCTAAACCTAATATTATGGAATTCAAAGATGAAAAATATAATTATGACACAGAATTTATATACCATAATTGAATATCTTGAAGAACTAATATGGTGTTCAAATACATCACCTTTTAGAACGGCTATATGTAATTTATTAAAATGGTTCTAAATAAATTTGCATACCTATCACAAGAACGTTGAAGATAATTAGAACAGTAAACGTGAAAAGAAATAGTTTCTTCATCTTAAATGTTAGAAATAAATATATTCTGTTTTTCTTTTTTTTGTCAAGAAATATATTATGTTCTTAAAAGTAAATTAATAAACCAAAAGAAAAGAAAAAAGTGTACATAAATATTAGAATTGTATGTAACCCATATTCTATTTTAAGCTATACACCTACCTTAAATTCAGATTTAGAAGACTATTTGTGATCTTACACAATTTGATGTTTTTTTGTTCATCTCATATGTTAAAAATAGTTAAAGCCTTAAGACTCGTTCATCTTCCATATATAGAGGTAGGATTAATAATCCTTTGAATAAAGATGAATATCTCATAGTTAATTTGCATATCTTTAGATATTCAAAGAAAAAATATGGTGGAAAATTCAATGAGACACTATTTTATAAAAATATGAAATATCTCTCATATGAGAGAAACAAGTTTCTTGATCACTAAAACTTAAAAGCATAAGATTCTTGAAAATTGATAATTATATTTGTGTTTTCCAAAGTCTTTTAAAAAATTCATTTAAAGTTTAAAAAACATTTTTCTAAATAATAATCATATCAAAACTATGAATTGAATATGTGGTATTGAATTATAAGAACCGTAATGGCGATAGACACAATATATGTGTTATTGTTCTTTGAAGTTTGCTCTCATTAGACACAATATCAAAACCGGCGACTGATATCCGCCGGACAAAACGGTGTACCGATGCGTTCCCGGTGGCTAGGGATAGTAAAATGCCTAAGCCTTCCTTGTTGCTCCTTCATGTACCCTCTACACAAGAAGGCCATGGAGAACTCGTCCTCTACTGGCCTATTAACGTCGTGAACGAAAACATCAGTCTCGCTGCCGTCATAACGGTTACGAGCCAACAAACCCGCCGTGTAGATAGCGCTCATCCTCCCTGGAGCTTCCTCGTGGTAACCAGTGGGAGCATCCACCATGATCACATCCCATTGCGTGTCATACACGTCAGCTGGGAAACCCTTAAGCGACAAAGCACATTTTGAATCTCTTGGGTCAGACACGGCTTTGCAACCTTTTGTTCTCTCTAGCTCCATGAGCTTGTTCGAGTCTTTAACTTTTGTGTCGTATACGACGTGGTATGATTCCAAGTTTGGGAATTTCTTGGTTACTGTCTCGATCCAAGCTTTATCTTCCTCTAGGAACACTAGCAATGTAAGAAGTAAACTTTATATAGGAACCAGAGATTTGTTTAAACTTTTAAAAGACATGTTGTAATGAGAGAAGCTTACAAGTGCGTCCACCATGATTAAGAGATGCCCACATCAAGCTGTCGTGTCCTAAGCCAAAGACGAGGAAGTTACAAGGAGCTTTCTTGTCCAAGACTCTCTTTGAGACTGAGATTTCATCAAACGTTTGTTGTGGTGTGATCTCTGTGGTGACGTAGTGAACCAATGCATCGGATAGAGAAACAGGCAATTTGGTGCATTGTTGTGGGGTTGATGGGCATTTAGGTTTCTGGTGTTGTATGGTTGAGTTTGAAGAGGAAGAGATGGTTTCTCTTTTCAAGAAGAGAATGAACAAGACCAAGACTGAGCAACATATGAATATGAGCTTTGAGCTGATGAATGATTGTGGTTTATTCCTCATGTTTTTCCTTTCTCTCCTCTATGCGATAACCGGTTTTAATGTATGGAGAGAGCTAGAGATAAGATAGAAGAGCTTTGTGGTTGTATTTGATGTAACCTTAAAAGAGAGAATGATTGGGGAAGTTGAGGATGACATGACGGCAACTAAGGTTGCTGTTGAACCAGAAGTTGGTGGTGAGGATCTGTTGTATGTTATTATAATTTGATTGGAACGATGTGAAACGTAGTGGGGAAGGCTTTTGTTATCAAACAGATGCTTGAAAAACAAGACTTTGATGCCAAACACACAAAACATGACAGGTGTGTTTAGTCTTGATATACAATACTTTACTCTATTATATACATCAAAATGTTTCAAGTTGCTTAAAATAAGAAAAAGTACTCTCTGTAACTATGCATTCCTGATCCTGCATTGTCATATGTAATAAGTTAAAAGTCTAATTTAGAAAACTTCCATAGATTTACTGTTTCAGATCTAGCTTTCTATCTAAAGTTCCACGAACATGCCACTAATTCTATTGAGATACCTACTGTCGTAATATTCGAAAGTTCGGATTTTGACTATGTACCTTGGGAATAATGGTGTATAGGTCAGACTAGGCACTATATATGCACTATGCAGATGCTGCTGAAGAGTAAGTCTGGAAGAGGTAAGCCAGAATCTTTTGGTAATCACCTAATTGGACACCAGTGTTTGGATCAACCAAGAATGGAACCTGTAAATTGTATAAGCAACAACAGCGTTCTATAAGTGATTTGTAAGAGTGGAGACTTTGGTATAGACAGAGAGTGGAGAAAAATAGACCTTATTGGACCCTGAAGCATTTAGAAGTGAATTCATCCGTGTTGACCCTTCTCCAATGTTGTGTAATACATAGGGGAGCTCCAGCTCACACAGTGCTTCACGTACCAACCGTGAATACTGCTAGGGAAAAATAGGAATCAAAACCCTTGCTCACCAAAGTCTACTCCGGAATATAATAGTACTAAAGAGTGTATTATTTACTTCTTGATGAGAAAGTTACTATATCATAAGATTCAAGCTCTGAATTATGAAGCAATCCTCTTTATTATATATAAATCATGGATTGCAATTTACAATCTAGAACCCTAAGTATCTAGGAGATTTGTAGTGGAGACCTCTTAACTTTCCCAATGCCAAAAGGATCTTAAACAACTAACTGGTCAAAGACCCTTCATTTGTTTGCTATCTTACTCATATACAATTCTAGTGCCAATCATATTAACAGGAAAATATGGCGATAATATAGTAGTGGAATGTGTGGATGTAACGACCAATCACAAGAAGAGTCTTCCATACGAAAAAGGAAAAGAAAAAAGCATAGTACCGGGTTATTTTCGTAAGAGAAGAGCTCAAGCATTTTAGGTGGCAGATCTGTTGAAGCTTTGTCCCACAATGACATGCCTCTACCTGCTCGGAGAAGTGTTGGCATCCATCCAGTGAACAAGGTGCTGGACAATTCTAATAAAGTCAGCTATACAATTAAAACTTGTTGACAAAAATTTTTTTTATAAAAACTTTTAGTTAACAGGAAAGAGCAACTAGTCTACATGAATACTACGCTAGGATAAGAGCTGGAGACTACAGTACACAACCCAGATAGTTTGACCCAAGTATAGCAGATTCTAAAAATGCTCACCTTTCCAGAAGTCCTGTGGAAGGGCCTCTTCCATTTCCATATTGTTTAAATAGGTACTTTACGATGTCACCTAAATTAGAAAAGAGATGGGAACCAATGTAAAGATATCCAAAGAACACGACAATAGGCTATTAATGTTGGAACTTATGACTCACCACTCTCATACATTAAAGTTTCAGTATTCGGGTCGACAAGGAATGGAAACCTGCAAATTTTCATTCACAGAATTTTAACGACAAGACCATTAGAAGGAAAACAAAAACTGCTACGGAATGATGAAAACTGACAGAACAAGAATGTAAAATTACATCTCTTTTCCGCCAGATCTTCTAACTAGTTCTCTGTGTCTTACAGATCCTTTAGGACAAGGATAAACCTGAACCAACAAAATATCAGGATAAATTTTTATTTATTGCTTAATTAGCCATCTCTCGGGAAAAGATGTTTCAGTTCATACTTCTACAGAAAGGTCTAGCTCAGTCATGGCTTCCCGTACCCTCCGGCAAAAGGGACATGCCTCTATCATCCAAAAAAAACAATGAAACTCTCACAATGTAAAATTGGCTTTCCACTAATGCACTTTGTTATAGTGACATCAACAAGAACATACCAAATTCAAAAAGCTGCAATCGCAAAGGAGGATTAGAAGAAACATCTGAGTTATCTATACTCGCAGTTGATACTCGCGATCCCCATGGAAGTCTTGCAACAGATGCTAATGAAGAAGTTGCAACCTTTATTCATGCCAACCATAAGAAAAGAACACAAAATGCAGATCTTTTCGTCACATATCTAAATCTTTTATCTTGTAAGAAGTCAGCGAAACAAAAATCTATTGCCCCTGTAAATAAGTTCAGAAAACTCAATCTTCAGTCACAACTTCTCTTCCAATCTAAGGAACCATGAAATAGTTTTACAATGTTTGACATCAATGTAATGTTACTTTTATATCCAAACAGGCTTTAATAGAACCAGCAAACTGAAATCTAAACACTTCCACATCACCAAACTTAATCAGGCTCATGTGAGATCTAATTCAGTGGTTTTCTCCAAGTTACCTAATTGATATACTTTTGGCTGCAGAGCCTTGTTTTTAGAGACAAAGTGTTGCAAAACAACTACATAAATTAAAAACATGACTAACCTCTAGAGCATGATTCCGCTCTTGAGAAGGATCACCTCCCTGGAAACAACAGCTGATAAATATTAGACCAACAACATCAAGAACCTATCACTCTCGATACGTAGTTTTGAAACATGACACAACCACACAAATGAGAACACAACAACATAAACCAAGCAAAATCTCAAAACTTCGAGAAAAGAGAAGGGACTTACAGAGAAAACTTTAAGCAACGGACATAGAAAAGACAAGAAGCTTGATGACTTGCTGCTCGTATCAGACGACTTCGGTGATACTTCATCCCGTTTCGCCTCTAACTTGCTCGATTTCACATAAAGTCTCCCCCTTTGGCAAACCCATGTCCCCTTTCCTGAGATTCTCTTCGAGAATTGATGAGAATGAAACGTGGATGATGGAAACGAAGCAATCGGGTGACAAAGAGTGCTATTAACCACCGTAATTGGCATTGTTCCAATCAAAATCTGGATTTTGCAGAGACCCTTTATTCGATACTGAAGAAAGGAGAAAAATCGATTCACAGAGTCACCACAAAGTGCGAATTTTCGCCGCTTAGCTTTGAGTCTTTGACTGGTAACAACACTGTCGACGACGACGACGACGAGGACTCTTCGGAAAATCTTACCTTGGATTGAAATTTACATAATTGCCCTCTTATATTTCTAAAAGTCTCTTAAACATTAAGGGCAAATACGTAAATATTTTCCATCCCTTCTCTATCACAGACTTCACAGTCACAGAGCACATAGGTTTATTTAAGAGCAGTGTTTGGAAATCGAACAACGCGACTCGATTTCTCGCAACGCGACCCGAGAAATCGAGTTTGTAGTCATCTCAGGCGCAAATTATACTCTCCTAGGCTGTCTTGTTCGATTTTCAAAGCTTCATAGAAGAAGAGTGACGAAAGAATGCATCTTTAGTGGCTAAAAGACCTTTGATGGGGTTGTATCTTGTATGTGTGAGAGTTGTTGCTTTTGGTTGATCACTTAGCAATTGAGGAATAAAGCAAGACGATTGATCAAAATTGTATCTAGTGGCTCTTAAAAATTGAGCCTTTATTGAATTAGTGTGCATGTTAGTCATGAGAAACTGATTCTTAAAGGTCTGTTTTTGATAAGTTGTAGTACTAAGGTGTTATAATGATGTTCTATGATCTATGTTTAGGCAATGTGTGTTAGTATTAGGTCATATGTATAGTTTATCTTAGTTGGCTTGTTTGTATGTGACAATGATGCACCATCTCTGTGTATTTTGGAGTTAATGACGGTAAAAAGCTTCTATCTACATATATACTTGCACAACTAAACACGAGAGCTAAAATATGCACACTTGTTTGCATCCACAAACCACAAGTAATGTGTGTGAGACAGAGAAAACATGAATTGCCATGTACAAGGGATCACACTACATAGTTAAAGATCATACTACCACAAGCATAGCTGTGGCATTGGCTTGCTTAAATTTTTGTAAGAGTATTGTCTATTGAAGCGCTGAATCGAATAGCAGAGCCGATAAGTGTGGTGGATCTTCGTTGTTCCAGTTCAGGTAATGTTCTTTCTTGTTTTGGGTGTTAGCAAATTTTTATCCATGTCTTCTTCTACTTTGCAAATGTTCTGTTATTTTTCTTTGTTGCAGATTTCTCAAGTCGTGATTTCCTTACAGCTTCTTGGATTTGCCTCTCATGGTCTTTCAGAATGTCCTCAATGTTTCCTCCGGGAGGCATCAATGGACCCGAACAGTGCATTCTATTCTTCTTGCGTACATATGTCTGAAACAGCATGAGGAAACATCTTAGGATCCATAATCGTAAAGGGAACACTATATAGCTAATATATTAAGGCAACCAAGTTCCAAGTGTTTTATTACCGTTGTGGGTTCTATGGCTGCATCATCTTTATGTGAAGGAGACAAGTATCTCCCATTCATGGGCACGTTGCTAGATCTGGTAGCCTTCAGCTCAACTACATTGTGCCTAGAGCTCTCGTTTTTACTCCATGTTGCTGCTATGCTTGGATGAATCATTGAATTGGTATGAGAAAAGCCTTTATCTCTGTCTCCTCTTCCCATCTCTCCCCTCAAGCCGGTTCTACTATCTTCCTGAGGATTGAACCTCCGAGTGATTATTGTATCCTTTGGCTTCCCTGAAGCAACAAACTCCGGTGTTGTAGTGGTACTCTTGAAGTCTCTCGAACCCCGTCTCACAGATTCAGGTCCACGACCCTTCACAGTTTCAGCCTTTTTCCTGAATTTATATAGAGAGTGTGTTTAGGAATTCACATGAATCATGTTGTGGCTGTCTAGTGCAAGAATACATCTATAAGGAACCTTTCTAACATACCTTCTTGCTTCTTCATCACGGACCTTTGCATCAAGTTCCTTGCTTGGAGGATACTTGGGCAAACTTGATACATCACAAGGGAGTGGTTCCATTGTGAAGAACTAGAGAAAAAAGAAAAGAAAGAATAAACTGAGTTTGGATTGAGGAGGCAAATGAAGAACTGCTAGATGAAGGAAATACAAAGCTACCTTGCTACTTAGCGTCGAAGAAGCTGTGCCCCGCTTCTCTGGTTCTAAGGATAGAAGCTTGTCAACAAGAGCTAGAGCAGAAGATGGCAAATTCTTGAAAGTCTCTAGAAGGACACGCTTATAAGGTTGTTGTGGCTTGAAACTTGTCGCAAGTGGTAGCTTTGTCTTTTGCCAGTAATCATTGCATGGTGAACCACACAACTTGAAGATCTTATGCATTTGTTCCACCTAAGAGACATTGTCAAAGATACATTTCTTGAATCAATAAATTTTCAAAGAAGTGATTGTTTGATGAATGTACAGGTAAGTTATACCTCTGTTCTTCCTGGCATGATTGGTTTCCCTAAAAACAGTTCTGTAAGAATGCAACCAACACTCCACAGATCTATCCCGGGTCCATATTCTGTTGCTCCCAGTAGAAGTTCAGGGGCCCTGTACCACAAGGTTACTACACGGCTCGTTAAGGGTTGATCTTGCTCTGGATGATAGATATTTGCAAGACCAAAATCTCCAATCTTGAGGACTCCATCATTGTTTACCAAGAGATTTGAACCCTTAATGTCGCGGTGGAGGATTCCACGGCTATGGCAGTGTTCAAGCCCGCTAAGAAGTTGCTTCATGTAACATTTGATCTGCAAGAAGCAACAAGAAAAGATTTATCTCCATGTAGTCCATGATTCTTTGGTACATTTTTCGCTATAATAAAATCCTTGACGTACCTGAGACTCAGTGAATTTTACACCGGGTCTAAGAGCGAGACCTGAAAGGTCATGCTCCATGTACTCAAACACAAGGTACAAGCTACCAGAGAGTTTTGAGGTCACAAGGCACTCAAGCTTCATAACATTTGGATGGTCGAGTTTGCGCAAGATGTGGATTTCTCGGGCCATGAATCTCACACTTTCCGGATCCATATTAACGAACCTGACCTTCTTCATGGCTACCATTTTACCGGTCACAAGGTCCCGAGCTCTGTACACACTGCTGTAAGTCCCTTGTCCAATCTGCAAAACACAGTGTTCACATTATGACCAACCCAAAGAGAGCTTATACAGACTAACCACAAAATTGGATGTAATAGACACAACACAACAAAAACATATATCAATCAAGAAACTGTAATAATATGGAAACAGAGAGAGTAAAGGAACTAACTTTGTCCAGCTTCTCAAAAGACTCTGCACCTCGTGGAACCCAACCTTTGATAGCTTCACCTGCAACAGAGGTTAACCAAGAAGGCCATCCAGCTGCAATAAGCTCGGCCTCAGGGCTCTGTGGAACACTTGTGGAGATATTATTACACGGTTGAAAAATATTGAATCCTCCTCCTCCTGTCCCAATTTCTGCAGTTGAACATCTCCTGTGACACCTCGTTGGTCTCTCAACAATTACTGTTTTACCATCACTATCATCTACAGGAACAATCAACCCGCTGGCTCTAGCGGAAGGTTTTTGCGCCAACCCTTCGGTTTTGCGTCCACGGGAGCTCTCATCCGCGGATTTAAGTGAAAAATCATCTTTCTTGGAAGTTACAGGTGCAATCAACTGAACTGAGGACGTTGTTTTGTTCCAATTCTCTTTTGGTTTCTCATATTGGTCATTAACTTCTTCTTCTGCAGTTCCTTTAGAGCAAATGCATCCCATAATACTTCAGGCTGGTTCGTTGCCTATCCGCATCAAGAAACAAATATATATATATAATCCTGATTGATCCCTAAGCTTCAAAAAGAACCTAGGAATCTCAGGTTTATCAGAGATATAAAACACACAGAAGAGAAGATGATGATCAAGATTCAACACACCCAGAGAGATCTTCAAATCTTATGTACTCAGAGATCTTTTGATGTTTATATGATCCCAATTGAATAGAAGGATCTTATAAAACCCCTTGTAAATTTCAGATAAGAAGAGAGATACTTGTGAATCAAGAAACAAGATAGATTGATGATGAAGGAACGATACAAAAGAAACCCTCAATTTTTTTTGGTTTTTTCTTTTTCTTGATTCCGTTATCTCCACTGCAAGACGTTGTTAATTTGGTTTCTTGCAGCAAAAAACTGTTCTTCGATAACGGAAGAAACAGAGAGAGAGAGGAGATAACGAACAAAGAGTGTTTGTTAATTTCTGATATGGAAATTTTTAGGAATGATGATGAGGAGAGATGGATTTGGTTTTTGTGTCGCCGGAAATTATGGTGGTGCCCTAGATTCTCTGGACAAAGACAACTCACAATATCTCTTTTTTTCTTGATTTTGTTTCTATTTTTGATCAGTGTGTTTTGTTAGGAAACAGACTAACGAATTTTGCATGAAGAAGACAAAGTGAAGGTTCTGATCCAACGGTAAAAAAGAAATGAAGTTCATTCGATCGGTTTTTTTTGGGTTAGTTCGGTTTTTTCGGTTTTCGGGTATGAAAATTTGGTAATTATATCAAACCGACTAATTTTTTGGTTCGAATCAGTATAGATACTTGAAATTTGAACCGCATATATATACCCGAAGAGGTTTACTTTTTAACAGGTTCGGTTTCTATGTGGCCGATTGGTAACACACTTTAAAAGCTTTAAAAATATTTAAAACATTTAAACCAATTAATTTACCATTCGTTTTTGCTTTTTTTTTTTTTAAAGCATTGAAAGTTACTTTTTTTTTCTTCTTTGTTTTTCCATTTTTTACAAAGCCTAAAAAACCAGGCTTTAAATCTGATCAATTAAAAAAGATTTAATTTTCATTTTCTATTACATTTAAAATCTTTTCACAAGTTTATAAATATATTTTTTATATTTTACTTTTATAAATTAATTATTCTTATTTTTTTCTTGTTTTTTTAAGATCTATTTCAATAATACTTTGTTATTTATATATTCATTTCTAATATAATTTATATTTATTATAAATATAAAAATAATAATAATAAAATAACATGCACAACTTTAAAAGTTGTTCATTACCAATCAATTTTAACAGTAAAAGTTTATACAACCAAATTTTCTGCAGCTAAAATTTTAAAGTTAAAATCTCTATAGCAACAAGTACCAGTAATTTTTTCCGATCATTTGAAATACATATGCCGGCGGAAAACATTATTTTTCGGGAGACATTGGTCCAAAAGTACCAAAATTACAAGATTTTTAACCGAGAAATACCCGTATAAACCAAATAAACATGGTCAAAAAATTACTTGCATGCGAACCAAACCAAGAACTAAGAATAGTGTCCGAAACCAAAACATGTATAGTATCAAAACCAAACCGAATCCCAAATTTTGGTTTGGTTTGGTTCGCTGTTCCAGTTGTTTGTGTTGTTGTTACGACAATGACCCACGTAGGATGTTTCTGTCGGAGATCGTGGGAGTTCCACTTGTTCTATTTCTTTCATCGATGTCGAGAAAGAAGAACATTATCCCAAAGAACTCTTCTAAGTTCAAGTCTCCCACAAAGTATTTAGCATATAACAAAACTCCCCATTGACCACGTACATCGTCGACTAGATAATTAGAAAAATAATGCATGTTGCATTAAGGATTAGAGACTGCATAAAGACATTTGATTCTTTTGTTTTTTAATGTTAGGATATAGAGTTATATATTGTTTTTTTAAAGCTCACATGATGATCTCTCTTAGTAACAAGGGATCATGTATCTATGAAATCAAACACCTTAAACTTTTGCCTTGAAGGAAAAAAAAATAAAATATATATATTAACATAGAGCAAACTTTTACCAATTCCTTTCAATAGTTTTGAATCGAAACTTATATATATACTAGATTTTACCTAATTTTGTAAATAATATATAAAATTTCTCGATAAATAAGTATCGTCATATCGTATACGTGGTTAATATTAGAGTACACAAAAAAGAGAAATCCAAGCGCAATATGATGTTATGTAACTAGGGTTTTCCAGTAAGATAGATTACTATATAAAGTGTGTAATGAACATCATTGTCTTCAACCTTGAGAGTTGTCAAAGAGGCAACTCTCCTTCTTCACTATTTTTATGATTGAATCAAAGTATTACTAATCTTGGTTACAATCTAAAGTTCTTTCCTTTTATCTTTTAGTTTTGCATTTGAATAAAGCTCTTCATGAGCTATCTAATATCTAAGTTTAATCAATCTTAATAAGCTCAGCTCAATTGAGCATAAATCATCTTGCTTTGGATTTACTCACAGTTAAATAATTCACAAATGTAAAGCCTGCTTAATGCATCGTATACTTTTGGATCCTAAAAAGCTCATGCCTTATTTTGTATACATTTAAGGGGCACGGCCGCACGGCCTTGGGGGTGTCTCTCGTTTGCTATATGATATCTACTAAGAGATTTTTCAAGAGAACTATATAAGCTATGATCTATCTGATCAAGTATCCACGTCCAACACACGTCTCCATTTCCTCTGATGGAAGCCCCATCAGTCCACAAGATCAAGTTTACAGTGAACCGACGACAAAAACCATAATTACAATCTCTAATCACCATTGGTCTTATAACAAGAGAGGTTCAAATGGAGCTGCATAGACGTATTACGTACCATTACCAAGAAAGAACCAATATATATCCGAATCTTTATTTCAAATCGAGCTGTGTATATATGTATAACTTCCCACGAACTTATGAAGCCAAGATACAAATTAAAACATCCAAAACCGGATTCAACCGGAACTATAGAGCTTCACGGTTTTATCTTATCCTATGTACAAAATCTAAAAACAATGAAACTCGAACAAGCACGTGGCTCTATACCTCTATCTGCATGCAGCCATGTTGTTCACCATCTATCACTATACGTCAAAATCCGCCCCACAAATTTATAATTTCTTTTTCCCTTTCTCATAAAACAAAAGTAAAAAGAACATTTTCATTCATTTGCTTCCTCTTTAGATCTCTCTTCTTCGTTTTGATAGCCTCATCCAAAACCAAAACATCTCTTTGTTTTTTCCGAAGTAAATTAAGAGGGAAAGAAAAAAGAAAAGAAAATGGTGGATCTATTGAACTCGGTGATGAACTTGGTGGCACCACCAGCTACTATGGTGGTAATGGCCTTTGCATGGCCATTACTGTCTTTCATTAGCTTCTCGGAACGGGTCTACAACTCTTACTTCGCCACTGAAAACATGGAAGATAAAGTCGTCGTCATCACCGGAGCCTCCTCCGCTATTGGTGAGGTACGTGCGATCTTGATCTTGTTCTTGCTCTCAAATATTGAAACAAGATTGGTTTCCTTAACTAGTCAATGTGTTATGAGTTTCTTGATTTGCATGGATGTTGATGATCTTGTTAATGTGATGGAACGCAGCAAATAGCATATGAATATGCAAAGAGAGGAGCTAATTTGGTGTTGGTGGCGAGGAGAGAGCAGAGACTAAGAGTTGTGAGCAATAAGGCAAAGCAGATTGGAGCCAACCATGTTATCATCATCGCTGCTGATGTTATCAAAGAAGATGATTGCCGCCGTTTTATCACCCAAGCCGTCAACTACTACGGCCGCGGTACACTACTTTACTTTCTCGCCATTTCCTTATAAAATGCTAGTGATAGGTTAACTTGTAGGTCAAGCTATGGTTCTTGTTTTAAACGAAAATGTTGTCTGCCTCTGGTGATGAATTCGACACACTAGTGGATCACCTAGTGAATACAGCGAGTCTTGGACACACATTTTACTTTGAGGAAGTGAGTGACACGACTGTGTTTCCGCATTTGATGGTATGTGTATCCTTGGGTTTGTATTGTGCATTGATCTCATTTCAATGGTATATATATTAAAAGATTGAGATTTTGAGCAGGACATTAACTTCTGGGGGAATGTTTATCCGACGTATGTAGCGTTGCCATACCTTCAACAGACGAATGGCCGGATAGTCGTGAATGCCTCGGTTGAGAACTGGTTGCCTCTACCACGGATGAGTCTTTATTCAGTTAGTACCTATAATATAAAAGTTTACTTTTACTTCTATCTTGTAAGAGAGAGATTACATAATGTTACTTATCATTGTGTAGGCTGCAAAAGCAGCACTAGTCAACTTCTATGAGACGCTAAGGTTCGAGCTAAATGGAGACGTTGGAATAACTATTGCGACTCACGGATGGATCGGGAGTGAGATGACTAGAGGAAAGTTCATGCTAGAAGAAGGTGCTGAGATGCAATGGAAGGAAGAAAGAGAAGTAAAACTTATTTAACCACACATGTGAGTAACTGAACTTATAAGACACAAAAACTTACTTACACGGTCTGCAGGTACCTGCAAATGGTGGGCCGCTAGAGGAATTTGCAAAGATGATTGTGGCGGGAGCTTGTAGGGGAGACGCATATGTAAAGTTCCCAAACTGGTACGACGTGTTTCTCCTCTATAGAGTTTTCACGCCAAATGTGCTGAGATGGACATTCAAGTTGTTACTGTCTACTGAGGGTTCACGTCGAAGCTCCCTTGTTGGGGTAGGGGCAGGTATGCCTGCGGATGAATCCTCTTCACAAATGAAACTTATGCTTGAAGGAGGTCCACCCCGGTTTCCCGCAAGCCCACCTAGGTATACTGCAAGCCCACCTCACTATACCGCAAGCCCACCACGGTATCCTGCAAGCCCACCTCGGTATCCTGCAAGTCCTCCTCGGTTTGCGCAGTTTAACATCCAAGAGTTGTAATAAAAACTGGATTGAGAAACAAGAGGTCCGGTCCGTTTGGTGAGTAGAGTGTAGAGTGAACTTTGAGCTTTAGAACATTTTCCAACTAAGTAAATGACCGAGAAAAGCAATGTAAAAAGGACAAAGAGTCAAGAATAATGCCAGATGATACAGCTATATGATATTACTTCTTATGTCAACCAAAATATTACAGGGACACAATGTTGATGTATATGGTATTGTATCTGTCAAATGTGATTTAGACGTAACTTCACAATATTATACAGATAAAAAAAAAGCAGAACCAAGACCGTTCCGCACCTCTTAAGTTCTGAGAACTTGGAAAGAAGATGACAAGATCCTGAAGAGACCATCTGGGTTATCCGTGTGAACCTGAAAAAAACACAACACAGTACCAGTTTAAGGTTTCGATGATAGAATAACAAAGAGGAAACAAAGATGTAGCAATGTAAAAGCAGAGGTATAGTTAGCTTAATTTACCCAATGACCGGCATCTTCCAGGACATGCATTTCTACGCCGCCTCCTTCTTCAGAGGCGAGCTCTTCAGCAGCGTGGATTCGTTGAAGGTCTTTGAGGGCCCAACGGTGCAAGCTTCTTTCTGCTTTCAGAAAATTCACATGTACTCCTCTTGGAAGATTTTCAACAAAGTTCCTTTTATTTGTAGAAGCAATAATACCAAGAAGTTTGAGTTCAGTTAGGTAAGATATAATAATATCAGGAGTGTGCTCCACTAAACACAGGGAGTTGACAGAAAAAGATTACCATAGATTTGTGTCTTCGTAGGACTGATAAAGTTGGGAGATCCCATCCAGGTCAAATGTCCACGAGAAGCTGGAGCACGATGGTCCAGTAGCTCTAAGATTGGTAACAACCCACTGCACAAGATACATCAAGATTGTTGTAATTCGGCAAGTATCAACGGAACCAACCAATGGTCTGAAAGTTAGTTAACAACTGATAGATAATTATACCTGTGCAACATCATTGGAAAACCCTTCTTTGATAAGAGAGTTTAAAACCTCACGCTTTGACGATACCTAAAACCAAACACCAAAGAAGTTCAAAAGCAATAATTTCTACGCTTCTTTTTCATCTGGCTTCTAAGACCCTGTAGCTGGTTCAAACTGTAAAGGAAAGACAATCACTTTTTTCCTTGAGTCATTTCGTTACCCACATGTTCTATTTAGTTGATATAATTTTCATAGTTTAGGACTATTAGTTCTCTCAGCCGGAAACAAGAATTAAACTATTCACATAATAAAGTTCCTTGATATCGCAAAACTGAACTTGAAAATTGACACAGCAAATTTGTCGTAAAAAAAACTGGCGAGGGAACTATTTATAATCTTCAATGAAAAAGAACTGAGCATTCTAAATGTTTCCATGATGAAATAGGACAAAAAATCAGTAGACCTCATTACTTACCACTTTTGGCAATTTACGTAGAAACGATATAAGCTCTCGTGGATGATCTTCTCCATCTCCTCCTGCACGAACTTTTCCAGGAGTAGCATCCAGTACCCAAGCCTAAAATGGATAAAAATTAGGGAGATTAAATAAATCCTACCAATGGTCATCGGATATATACATCGTAAAAACACTTACTCGGACTGGTCGTGGAAGAGGTTTCGCTGCTTGCTCCACCATGCTTAAAACAACTACATGATCATAGAAAAGACACATCAGCAATGTTATCACATTAGAGTAAATAATTACATTAGAGTAAATAATCTAGATGAAGCAATTTCATAAATACATTAAATTACCTTTCCCTCCAAAGCTATGACCAACAAGGACCCGAGGTGTTAACCTCAACTGACCAACCTAAAAATGACAGAACAGAGAAAGATAAATGTCAGAGAAGTTCTCTTTCATGAATTTAAATATGAAGTGGACTTGCGAAAGCAACTTACAAGTTTTAAGACATCAGAAGCAGTTGTAGCAACAGAGTGTGGACCTCTCTTCTTAAGAGATGCTGAATCCCCATGGCAACGAAGATCTACCAAGAGAAACTGTGAAGATTTTATCAAGAAAAGCAGATTAGTTATTCGCAAGCCAATAAGTATGTCTGTGCACAGTCAAGTGCATTTGGTGGTGAAACAGATACCTGCCAAGTTGGGAACTCATGAGCCAATCTTCGGGCAAAAGTGCCTAGAGAGGCAAGAAAAATGTTTAGTTATCTCGAAACGTTTGCACACCATACAACTAAACCAAAAAGTTTGAACAAACGAGAAACAAAACTACTAAGGCTGAGAAGGCATTAACAATCCTCAACAATTAGGCCATTAAACAAGATTGATGATCTCTTTGCTTGCCACTAACAAGCACGTGAAGTGATTCAGAAATGACTTCGCTGGTTTCATAATTCCTTAAGTACAGCCAAACTTGAAACAATTTCACAAGGAATCCGGCAATACTAACCCCAATTTTTCCCGCTCCCTAGAATTCCATGTACGAGAACAGCAGTAGGTGTATCTGGGACAGACTTATCATCTTTCCATCGCCATTTCACCTGCGAGTGTATTATTATGTCAATCCACAATCAATCTGAAACACACACAATCTCTCAAACTTATGTTGGCTTCTCTTAGCTCAGATCCCGACATTATCAAGTTCAATACTTTTTCCTTGCAAAACAAGATCATTACTCTCCAGTAAAGAACTACACAACAAATTAGCTCTCAGATAACTTACAAGTGCCCCTTGAACAAGATCATACGCCTACAAAACAATGACACACAAATAAACAATCATCAGAGTCCACGGATTCAAAAAATCTCCAAAAAAATCCGATTTTTAACTAATGAAAGCACAAACCAAGATCCGAGGAGGCTCAGCAACATCTTTGCTTGTTGATTGTCTCTCATCAACTAATGCCATACGTACACATGTTCCTCTACCTTTACGAGTTCCATTTACCAATTCCAAACGATGCATACTGAAACTATCACTCTTCAAGTAAAAAACAGAGTCAAAGTTAGAGACTTTAAACTGCTTAATACCAGAGAGAGAAGAAGAAGGATCTAAGAAAAAACCTGAGAATTTGACCCAATTCTGATAAACCTAGGAGGATTAGGAAATGTCTTTGATTGAAACCTAAACCCACCACATCCGCGGCTAGAGCTCGCCGTGGAGCAAGAGAACGCCGACATTACGACAGATTCGAAATCGGGAAACGAACCCAGAAAACAGAGACAAGGCGGAGAGATTGGTGAAGAAGTTAAAAGAGGCGGAGAAATCGAAGACAATGTGCTTCTTCGATTCTTTCTCCTCCTCTGTTTTTTTTCTTTTCTTGGTCTCTCCGTCGCCTTTGTTTTTTTTCCTCCGCCGTATGTTTTTGTTTTCTGGAAAAAAAAAAAAAAAAAATCTTCAGGTTGGAGACAGAGATGAAATGACAGATTTACCCTTTTTGTCGGATTGTTCATAGACGTGAATCGATGACCACTTGGCGTTGGTCGGTGCAGCCTTCTCCACCTAACTAAACACCTCACAACTCTTATTGCTTGTACCTTGTCTAAATGCTTGAACGCGTTTCTTGTAAACGTTTAAAACGTTATTTCCATTTTATTCAAAAAGATAAGTACATTATAAATTGGAAAAAATGTCATCAAATACATGAACCGAGTTATTTCGGCCAATTAAAACATCAACTTCCAAACATGTTATTTAAATTATACATAGATATTGACTTACCGTTTAAAACATGAAACAAAGTTGACCAAGCCAAAAACAATATGTCGTAAGTCCGATAACGGAGCAATTAGTTAGGCGGTATCTACGCGGTAACTCAACGCTTAGCGCCTAAAACATTTAATCGGGGCCTAGGCGATTTCTAAGCGGTTTAGGCGTTTATAACATAAAACATTATATATATGATATTATAGATAAAAATTATGTAAAACTATATGTTATAGAAGTCAAAATAATAAATTATAAACCAATATGAGAAAAAACATTTCTTTAATTTCTATCAATAACATATGTACATTTATAATTATATATATATGGAAGTAAAATTCAAAATTATAAATATATTTAGATAAAAATTATAAAAATAGAATCTATGTAATTTTATTTGATTAAAGTGTCATCATTTTGCTTTTCTTCTTCGCTTTCCCAAACTTGCCCACCTTCTTCTTGAAGTTCTTCCTCCCAATACTGGACTAGAGTCTTAGTTTTATCATCCACACAAAGCCTCCTTATAAGACTAGGTTTCAACACTTCCTCATTAGTTATGCGTTCAGGGATAATGTGAGAATCCGCATATTGTATTTCGTATGGTCTCCCCATTCATTCCAAAAAGTATCTTTCTTTCCCACAGTTTCCCATTCCCATTCCCACTTATCTTTATACTCTTATGTGGATTCCACAAAGAAGACACTAAGTGTGCAATCTAGAATGTCGTCTCCATGGGAAAGTGGCAACTCTAATTGTTGATTAAAGAGACATCCCCAATCATTTGGCTTAAGCTCACTTTGCTTAGAGAATTGGAGAATTTTTTGTACATCTGTGAATAGGTTATGTAAATAAGTTGGGGAAGATGATTAACTTATATAAATAAGTTTGAGAAGATGATTAGGTTATGTAAATAAGTTGGAGGAGAAGATGATATGTTATGTAAATATAAATGTATAGAACATGTTACTTCTTTGAATTTATCAATTACCTTCGTCCTCACATGATGACCATTGTAGGTTGTATGCACGCCTCTCCACAGCAGCATTTGTCGTAGGTATATCAATTTCGTCAGGTTATAAAGCATCTTTAAGGAAAACAAAAATAGTATTCGCTATTTTTATAATCATTTCAGCTTGTAAGCATCTTTCGATCGCAGTATCTATAATCTAAATCCATCATAGTAATAATTGGCCATTTTAGTTTCTATAATTCGCTAATCACAATAGTAATACTAATTTATTTAAGGAAAAAAATGTCAAATACTAATTTATTTAATGTAATAAAATTATTAAATGAAAATAAACATATAAGCAGAGGTTATGGGATTTTTTCATGGTCTCCAAATGGTTTGGAGCAGAGATTTGCGTTGTGTTTGGTTTGAAAGCAACAATTTGGAACTTACAAATTCTGAGTAATAAAAAGGTACTATTTTTATAACATGATCATATGCTTCTAGGTACTATTTTTTAATGAGATTTGACAATCGATGTCCAAATTACTAGATTGCTCATTGGATCATGTTTGTCGAGAGAAGAACGTCGCGACTGATAAACGATCTTCTTATGCTAACTCCATGACTACATTGCCTTTGAGTTTCTTTTGTTTGATACATTGCCTTTTATGGCTTTCACATTGGTTGTAATACTCTTTCATTAATATAAGTAAGCTAAAAAAAAGATTTGATATCTAATTTGTCATATTAGACTTTTTATTAGTCATTATACTTCACCTTTCATCTTTGTATGATTTTAGTAAAAAACAAATCATCCAAGCATTCATATTATAATAAAAATATTAAAACAAATCTGCATATGCCATGATTTGAATTTTTAAAAACTAATATTATTTATTTATTTTAAGTAATATATATTCATAGTAAAATTAATAATATATTCATCAAATTTATTTATTAAGTAATGGGTCAAGTTTTGAATATTTATATTTGCTCTCATTTTTTTGTTGAAATATATAACATTATATACTACAATAAACTATTTTTTTAATTTGGAAAAATGTAAAATAGTTTAAATTGATATTTTTTCAAAAAAATATCATAAAAGGTTTATATTAAATAACTAAAAAATTTGTAAATACTCTAATTTGATCTTTTCAGACAAATATATTTAAAATATATATTGCACGCGAAGAGTTAACTGTTATTATCCCTTCTGTTTCATAAAGATTGATGTTTTGGGTTTTTTTTTTGTTTCACAAAGATTGATGTTTGCAAGTTTTAATTAATTAATATTAGTATTTTGTAAACTTTAAGAAGAAATAATCATTGACAAAATTTGAATTTATAAACTGTTATTGGTCTATATTTAAATATATTTTTTTGGGTGAGAGAAAATAGAGTTTTTTAAAATAGAAGTTATTGTTTCTTATTTGTGTAAAAACTCTTATTCAACAATGCTTTAGAAACAGAGGGAGTATATGATAAAATGATTTCTGATTCTTATAACATACGACAAAAATAACAAAAAAATATAATTAAAACCACAAGACATAAATTAATATAGCATGTCAAAACTTTATTTAAAAATACAAAATAGAGAAAATAAAATAAAACTCGTGGTTAGTGTTTTAGTTATTTAACTCTCTTAATCCCAAAAATCTAACCAAACCGAATAAATTTACATAGTAATAACAATTAACAAAAAATCACATAAATTTTTTTTAACAATATATATATATATATATATATATATATATATCATCTATATATTTTTTCCAAATCCTTTCGTAAAATTCTTTTTTAATTTTCATTTTTGAAAACAATAAAATATCCTCTACACTACACTACAATCATGTTTTTTTGTTGTAATGTATCAAAAAATTCTTTTTTGAAAAATAACACGTTGAATTGTTTCAACATCCTCTTTAATTAACATCTCCATTGTATGAGTTCAACTATTTAATATTTTTTTCCAACACTTCCAGTGTAATGTTATTTATTTCATCAAAATATACAAAAATTAGCGATTTTTTTTCATGTTATATATTTATATTCAGCGATTTATATTAATAAAAATTAAATTAAAATCTCTCACGTACAAAATCTAGTTATAAGAATAGCAAAATTATCGTCATCTCTTTCCTGAATATATTGTTTGCCTGTTTGGACAATATTTTGTTTTCTTTTCCACATTGCTTGACTTTTACTACAAGTTACATTTAACAATTTTTCAGTATGACATAAATCGTTGAATACAATTAAACTAAAAGGTGTTTCTTTCATGTGTACACATCATATTTTTTATGTAATCAGAAACTAAAACATCATTAAAATCAAGTTCCAATCAAAACATTTTGATAAATACAACTCATCATATTACATCATTGTAATAATGCTCATTTGTTCCACGTCATTTTTTTCTAAAAGCATATCACATAATCTTAGATTTCAAACTTGAAAAATATACTTTACATATCTGCATAAATTACAAATATTTGTAGGCACCAATATTTACTTGCTCGGTAAAATATTTTATTTTTTCAAAAGTTTATATTTCTTTTAAAATTATAAATCTAATACTATTAATTAGTTAATAATTACATTTGCTATAATTCAGATGTTGTGTGGATAATATTGCAATTTCAAGGCTCAAATTTGGAAAATATTGCTATAACTCTTTTGCTACAAGAATTTGTTTCTAATTATATAGAGATTACAACTTTCATCAACAATTTCCCCAAACTAACCGAGAAAATAATGTCATAATATGCACATGTTTGAATACAAAAATGGTTGTATATTGTACTAATGAACTTTTTAGTGTTTATTTTTTTATCAAACAAAAATCTTAGTGTTTTAAAAAACATATTTTCTTTCTAATCAATATAGAATCTATCAGTTCAAGAAAACTGCATTTGAATTCAAGTACATCAACAAAGATAAGTATCAGTTATGGTTTGGAAGTTGTCAAAAAGTTTAAATGCTGTACTTGTTGATATTTTAGCAGGGGTTGTTTGATATTTTAGATCAGTGCAGTAACTATCATTTTGTTTCAAATATATGTTTTGTCATTCATTCAAGTAATGTCCAGCTTATGAAAGAAGATGAAGAATATGATACTTTTTGTTCGGACACCTTCATGAGCTCTATAAGAGGCTCCCATGTAAAACTTTTTGTTTTTTACACTTAGTGAACTAACATTATATAACTATCTGTAGGCACTGGTTTATAATGGCGATCATGGTATTGTTCATGGTCCTCGGGGTTCTCTGTACATCCGCAGCCTTCTTATTCGATGTGATGTTGGTTCAACACGAGGATGATATTATTTTGTGTTTACTACTACTAATTTACGTGGGATTTTGGGTGGTATTTCCGGTTTCAATTCTCCTAATCCAGCTAGATATCACCGACTTACGAATCTTCTAGGTTTTGGTCTTAGTGGAAAACTTAGCAAGAGGGTTCAAAATGTGAAAAGTAAAAAGGTAAAAAAAGTGTCAATAAATAGGAATTAGCATTACTCCACATCCCATAGCTCTAAGACTATTTATTTTTATAAATAATATTTTCAAATAACATTAAACGTGTTGTTTTCTTGTTTTGCAGGATTATGACTGTTGCTTTTGTTTTAAGTGTGTTTCTTTTAAGTCTTTTAAGAGTTTGTTGTTTTGCAAATCCAATCATTTTATTATGTAATAATTTTGACCATAGAATTGAAGGTCCCCAGCTGCCGGACTCCTATATAAAGTCCTTTCTCAGCTATGTAACTCTTAAAGTTTAATGAAATAAAATGAGTGTTTTCTTAGGTTTATTTATGAGATAGAAGCAACCACCCTCTTCTTTTTCTTGTGTGTGATTCCTTGAAGATTGAGTGTTCTTGACTTATCATAGATATTTTCACAGATCTTTGTTCGCGTCTTTCAATCCACCATTTATCCATCTCATTCTCTGGATTCTTCAAATAGAACCCGTCGGCCAGTTGAAAAGTCTCCACCACGAATTCAAATGTAGCTTTCTTAGTTTTAATGGTGTAGTCTTTATAATGTTTTAGGTGTAATCATAAGAATCCAAATGCAGTTCTTGAAATGATAGATTCTATATTGATTTGAAAGAAAATATGTTTCTAAATACACTAAAAAGTTTTTGTGATAAAAAAGAGTTTATGAACATGTTTATAGTGGAGTTAGAGGGTTAAACGTGGTGATATACAATCACATTCATCTTATACGATCGAGATTAAAAACAGTTGAACATATTACCTTAAAGGCACCCTAAAATAATTTAATTGTAGCGCAACAATCTATAACCATTCATATAATTATTCAAAATGACACTTTTAAAAATGGGTAAGCAAAATGAGATAGAAAACTTTTTTTTTAACTAGTTTTCATTGTTGTAGTGTGTTAATTTCTGTAATATTTATATGTAACTTCATTAAAGTTGAACTGCCAATAGCTTATTAAATAGTGAGAATTGACTAGATTAAATATACTTTTTACTTACAAAAACATATTTTTGGATTGATGATCTCTATTTAAAAAAAAATTGACCATCTTTAAAAATTACTTTTATTTTTATTTTAAAATTTTGAAGAGAAAATTTTTACACATATGCAATAGATATTTTTTATTTATTAAATTTCCTATTTTCATAAAAATATATCAGAACAAAAAAATTTCCTCTGTTAATCTTAGTCTTAATATAAATAATATTAAGACTAAACCACTCTAATAATGGATCAGTTTAATTACCTTATGAGCCCAACAACAATAAGCCCACTTACTTAAAAAATATATATTAAAAAACGAATAAAATAGTCAACCGACTTAAAATCAAACCACTAACAAAACGCCACGTGTACTCAGAAAAAAACGTATGGCCTGTGTCTCTCTCACGCCACCACCTCTTTATTCTCTCTTCTTCCTCCTCGAACCTTCCCTTTTAACAATTCCACTTTTTCTCGAAGAAACCAAAAAAAGCTTAGAAGAAACAGTCAAAGCCACCGTTGAGATTTTTCTTCATTCTCTTTTAACAAATGGCGTCGTTCGATGAAGCACCTCCCGGAAACCCTAAAGCCGGTGAAAAGATCTTCAGAACCAAGTGCGCTCAGTGTCACACCGTCGAGAAAGGCGCTGGTCACAAACAAGGTCTGTTCTCTCTTAGATCTGAGAAAATTCTCTGTGTTATTCATCATCTTCATCGTTGACGCTTTGTTTCGCATCGTTGTAATCTGGATCTAACCGCATCGATTAGGCGATTTGAATTTTCGCGTTTTGTGTTCTCGTATTGATCGATCTATACGTATTTGGTCTTTCGTTTTGTGTTTTGGATTCGTGTTGATTTGGGATTTTTTGATTCTTATGAACGCAGGACCGAATTTGAATGGATTGTTCGGAAGGCAATCTGGAACAACTCCAGGGTATTCGTACTCTGCTGCTAACAAAAGCATGGCTGTGAATTGGGAGGAGAAGACTCTTTACGATTACTTGTTGAATCCCAAGAAGGTATTACTCTTTTTATTCCTTAATTTGATATCAATCATAGAGCTAGGTTCTTGATTTGATTGTTCATAAGAATGTGTATTGGTTCTTGATTTGATTGTTCATAAGAATGTGTTTGTTCTTTTTGGTGTGTGCAAAATCTACAAGTTTGTGAATCCTCCTTAATGGATTCAATCATTGAGTCTGGTTCTTGATTGTTGATAAGCTACTTTGTGGGTTTGTTCTCTTTTGGTTTTAGAGATTGTTTGTAGCAAAATACAATTAGGAGTCTTTATAGTTTATACCATCTTAGTATTTGATAAGTTGATCCATGAACACAATTTTGTTTGTTCTCTTTATATTTTGTGAGGTTTTGGCTTCCATCTTTCAAAATTAGTGTACCATAGAGCTGTGGTGTGTGAAACATCTCAGTAATGTGCCATTTGTTTTATATTCGATGTTCAAGTATATCAAGATATAAGCATCATTGTTTTTCTCTTTTAGGTTTTAGAGATTGTTTGTTGCAAAAACAATTAAAAGTCTTGTACTATCTTAGTATTGTTAAGTTGGTTGATCCACATACCCATGTTGTTTGTTTGTTTGTTCTCTTCGGGTTGTTGCGAAATTTACATATCTGTGAAAATTTGACTTCACTTTTCAACATCTTACACTATAAAGCTTTATCGTGTGTGCAACATCTCAATTATGTCCCGTTTATAATCTCAATCATAAGATTGTCCACAAACAAATGTGTGTAACTTGTTCACTCTCTGGTTTATGAAGAGCTTGGATCGCGTTTTGATTGGGTTTTCTTTGCTTGTGATTACAGTACATCCCCGGAACGAAAATGGTGTTTCCCGGACTGAAAAAGCCGCAAGACCGTGCCGATCTCATTGCTTACTTGAAGGAAGGTACTGCATAAGACAGTCTCTTCAAGGGATATATGAAAGCATCTGCTATTCCAAGTGCATTTTTTTTTCCTCACAGATTAATAAATCAGACCAAACAAAAATTTGTGGTCATGAACTGTATGGTCTCTTTTTGGTTTCTCTATTAACTTTGTTGATGTTGAGGCGAGAGTTGCCTCTCTTATAAAGATCGAATTTTATTCGTTATTGATGTAAAGAACCAATTCCCACTACCTAAGATATATATATTTTTCATTGAGCTTGCATGGTTTTATAACTTTTATTATGATGTAGTAGAATCTGTAAGACACAATTTCTCATATTGCGAGCATATAAAACTGTTTACTTATTAATTAATCATTCTACTAATCGAAGCTACAAATCGGTCAAGGTATAAACACATACCTTTGAAAAGTAACTTTTATTAGCAATCAATAATATAAGCTTAAGGTGTGAGAATGAGAAAGGTATTTTGGTATTTTGGAAATAAGAATATTAGCCACATTTTCAATAATCTCAACACAATTAGAAATATAGATTTGCAAACTGGATTATTCAAAATAATATAAAACTGAATATCTTATTAAAATTAAATTCTACATTATTGACGCAAGGATAAAATACAAAATTAAATTGGATCAATAACTCTACGTAGAGCTTTGTAAAGTATAAACTACATGACTAATCAAATGAGAAGTTTTGTACAAACTTGACACAGTCAATATATATCATTTGGAACAATTAATTACTAATTTTGTTAAGTTGGAGTGGACTATGATAGGCGGTTAACTAGTGGTATGGACTTGTGACCGTTGACAAATTATGAGGAATAGTATAATTATTAATTAAGTAAACAGTTTTAGATAAATTAAACTATACTTTTTAAAAATTATTCATTTAAGACCTATGGTCTACATTTGTGCGTTCTTTCTTAAATTTGATCACCTATGATATTTGAATTGCATTACATAATGTATAAAAACATAACGATTAAGATCTGTCAGCACAAATAAACATTTATACTAATCCATATGAAAAATGAGTATATACTTTCACGTATGTATTTAGTGAAGTACAAATACGATATATGAAAAAGTATAACGAGTTGTATTAGATGTTTATCTTTCTTTTTTTTCGGTATGAAAACGGAAGGAAATCTCCCAAAATTATGAAAATAAACTATTACAAACGAAAACTCCTCAGACGCGCAGGTCTGGAAACATTTTCTTGAATAATTGAATTAACAATCATATAAGCCGAAGCTAAAGCATGAAAACTTAAAGGTAAAAAAATGCATGGGACGCTAATCCATCCGCTAGACGATTCGCTTATTCGGACTATCTAGTCCCTTGAAATAAAACATTGGCACAGACGTATCAGAAAAGAGAGCGGATGGAAATCACTTATCCCTATCTGAAGAAACTCAACAACCATTAAAGAATCAACTTTTAATTCCAACCTTGTAATCCGACGCTCCCAAGCAATAAACAAGCCATAGTAAACACCACACAAGCCATAGTAAACACCTCATTATATTGATTTCAATATAGAAAATATATGTATATATATTACAAAAAAAAATTATCATGTTTGTTTTATAATTTACTAGCAGTTGACCCGCGCTCCGCGCGGGAGGTTTATAATTTTGTTTCGTTGATTTTTTATTCATATTGTGATAATTTTTTTTAATTGATTTTCAAAAAATATTATAATTATTTTCTCTTTAATTATTATCTTTCAATACTCAAATTTGGATTAAAAGCACTTGATTCAATTTATGAAATATCATTTTTTTTCTTTTTGATCATGTTATAAACTAATATTTCACTTTCATTTTTTTTCCTCTTTATAATTTTATATATACAATTACATAAATATTGTTTTAGTCTAGAATTTAAATTTTACTTCCATTCTAAAACTCAGTAACATATTTAAAATATTAAATTATGATCAATTTAAAATGAAAGTTGAATTATATTATTACACTAATAAAAAATTAAAGTATTGTTTTTCTTATATTAACATTTCATTTTTTTTACATAATTTATTTTTATTTATATAAACTTTTTATTAATTAAATAAGTAACATAAATATGCACTAAATGAATGTTTTAAATTTATTTTAATCTTTAAACAAAAATGTGGCTTAGATGGATGCTTAGGTGGCATAATGAGAAGAGAGAAAAAGCTAACTTTATATATTAATTATTGTTTTAACCTTTCTTATCCTTCATGTCACCTTAAAAGTATTCTTAATGACAGTTCAACATTCAATTTGTGGTCGATCAAATCCAAAAACTTGAGTTTTTTTTTTCGATTTTGCGTTTGGGCGTAAAACTGAAAAGATCGGAAAATATTGAAGGTGATTTTTTTCCGATCGTGTGCTTTTTTTTCGATTTTTACTATGGTTTTCTTGTATTGCCCACTCCTAACACGAGCTAGAGTTTGCTTTTTGTTATTCATAAGCTAACAAAGCTGAACAAGTCACAAAAAAAATCACACGACGGCTTTGGCATTGTCTCTGGTTGCTGCTGATTCAATTTTTAGGCTGTTGTGAAGGTTTCCACATTCCTGGTATCTGTTAACAAAACAAAATAATATATAATCAGACTTTGAAGGCTAAAGTTGCAAAAAGGAAAGTGATACGGATACACAAAGACTAGACACAGACCTCAACACCATGAGGGCCAATTCTGTTACGTGATATGAAATTCAGAACTAGGTTCGCAAACTCCTCCGGTACATCTTCCTGCATCCGCGTATATCATCATTGCACCAAAGATTCGAATATGAACATCATTAGGTGATCGTATTTTTTTACCTGTATGGCATGTCCGGTGTGTTTGACCACGATCATCTGGAATTTTCCTTGCATTTGACCAATTGTGAGGGTCCTAATCCAATTCACCAACACTAATATTACAACACGCTATAGATTTCGATTCAACTCAAGTTAAGACCTGAGTCGCCAGAGGTGAAGAAGCTAGAGTTCCTGAGGGACAAACACATATTTACCTGTCCAACCTATCTGTTCCAGCTAATAGCAAGAGCTTTGGAACAGGAGATGACAAGAACTTCTCTGAGAGACCGTCGTACCTGCAAAGCAACTAATATCGAATCATAAACTATCAAAAAAATATATATGTTAACACTCGGATTCACGACACTAACTGTTGTAAGTAATTACTACTATTATTCAACCGTATCAACAACCGAATCACCTTTAGCTTATGTTTATATTATGCATGGTAGATTGCTTATAAGATCTTAGGGTGACCAAATATGGGCGAGGTTCATACAAAGACTGTTCAAACAGATTCTCTGTGTTGTGCTCAGGGATTTACTAAACTAAAACAAGAGATAGTGAGGGTCGTACCAGCCTTTCCAGTATTGCTCTGTTTCCTCTAGACGCGTCCGGTAAACGTAGCTGGACAAAAGGTTCATATTTTCACTCATTAGGAAGCAAACATGTGAACACCTCAAAATGGTTACTATCAGTAACAGAGACGCACCACTGCTTTGAGTCATCATATCTGAGAGTTGGGGGGATGGAGACACGAGCGGAATCAATGTTTCTTAACGACCCTCCTCTAACGCTGTATTCAATCTGCAGAAATTATACATTACTTTAGAGATGGCAAACCCCAACAAAAATTACTATATAACAAAGTCAAAGTTGTTTGCAATTTATAGGCATCAATCTATTCTTCCAGTTTACAAAAAATTAACTTTAGCTCAATATAAAGATATCAAGGCAATGAGGAGAGCCTTGGCAAGGATTGAAAGATGAAAGGCCAAAAAATTCATTAACAAGAATACAACAAAAGAAAATATTGCACAGCCAAAAGACCAAAAGTATGTCATAATACGCACATATATGCAGATATCTTGTTTGTATACTCAACCAAGTGTTTAAAAGTTGCTTACTGCTTTTTGTATGCTAGGAAAATGCTGCATTCTGTTTGAGAGAATTTTCTGCATGTGAATCAACGAGGCAATAGCAGTGCCCTGCAAGGAAAGTGCTTTGATCAGTTCATCACGCAAGAGTGCAAAACAAGTGAGAAACATATGAGACCTTTTTATAAGAATGCAAACCTCAACAACATCCACAACGACAAGGCCAGCCAAACTACGCAATGTTTTGTTCGCAGCAACTTGCACAGCGACCGAACCTCCCATGCTGTATGTTAATAACACGGAATCAATTCATGAAAACTGTATTACACTACTTTTATTCTACAGATTTATACATGCGTTTATCACTATAATCATGTACTAAAGGGATCCCATAATTATCCATACTAAAAGAATTAAAATTTATTACCATAGGTTCAGTATACGGACAATTGTATCAAGTAGATCATAAACAACTAAAAACTTAAACTTTATCACATATGTTGCAGCTGTAAGATATATTCGCTGACACATCGGTTAAAAATTGATCTACTAGCTATTCACCAGCCGTTTACACTATATGAAAGAGATAAAAAAACAACATAAAGATACGAAAAATAAAATGGAAAAAGAAAAAAACCTGTGACCAACCAGCACAATAGCTGGAGGAGAATCTCCATACAATTCCTTAATCACAGCCACAACATCATTGCTCATTGTCTGCATTCCAATCTTACTACATCAGTCTCAATTCTCAAACACCAGCTAATGTATAAAATCAATAAGCAAAATCCAATTGTACCTCGAGCGATAAGTCCAGTTCATTCTCTGAAACCGATTTACCATGCCCTCTCAAGTCCATCGCAACCACACGCGCTTTCTCCTTAATTTTACTTGCCACTAAAGAAAACGAGAGCCTGGCAAGAAGAACAGATGAAACTATTATACTGTCCATGCCTATCTAAGTTACAAACCAAAACTACAACAACGAAACAGAAGCTCTAATCCCACAAGATCATCATTCCAATTCGATTCTAAGTTTCCAAAACTAGAACATACTCAATGAAAAGAGTGAGCTCTCATAAGTTAAGAGCCAAGAATCAAAAACACTCACCCAGAGTAGCCACCACCATGGAGACAAAAAACAACAGGTCCTTCTGTTCCTGCCATATATACGTGAAACACCTAAATTGACACACTCCATTAGAGAACAAAGAGACCCAAAAACTAAAATCAACCAAGTGAACAATTCGTTAAACACGTTTACATCATCAGATCCAGTGATTGAAACATCATCTTCTTTATCAAAATAGCTTTCCCATTCTACAGGCGAATACTTCTCCGACGAACTCCTACAACAACACAAACAAAACCAATTTCATTTTCCAATTCACGATGTAAGCTTCTACAATTCACGATGATTGACTCACGTAGAAGGAGGACGAAGAGGACGAGCGGCGAAGACAGACGCCGGAGCTTCTATAGGCTCGACATGATCCTCTGACGCATCTTCACGAAGAGGGTTTAAATTTGAAGAAGGATCCATTGTTTGAAGAGTTTTTTTTTTGAGAAGAGATCAAATGCGAATATAGTAAAGCTCTCAGATCTTTACAGTTCTTCTTCTTCCACTCTTCTTCTTCTTTTACAATTCGCTTTTCTCCATTTTTTTCGTGTTTTTCTTTCAGTCGTTTCAATAGGAAGGTGACACCTCGACGGAGACATATTGGACTAGGATTTTCTCTTATTGGGCCTTGTTTAGAAATATGTGACATATGTAATAATATAAAAAAATTTAATGTTTAGAAATAAAATATTTATAAAAAATAGTGATATGGGCCTGTTGGCGACGGACATTATTTAACACTACGCGAGACAAGTGAGATAGAAGAAAATTCAACACAATCTTATGGGCCTAACAAGGCCCAATAAGAGAAAATCCTAACAAGGCCCATAAGATTGTGTTGAATTTTCTTCTATCTCACTTGTCTCGCGTAGTGTTAAATAATGTCCGTCGCCAACAGGCCCATATCACTATTTTTTATAAATATTTTATTTCTAAACATTAAATTTTTTTATATTATTACATATGTCACATATAATATTTTCTATAATTATATAAAATATATATATATATAATATAATTTTAATCAATTTTTGAAGTCCGCGGGCCGGTTCGCCGGTCCGACCGGTTAATCCGCGATCCGGACATTTCTCCGGTTTGGTTTAGCGCTAAAATCCAGCAATCTCAAAACCGCAAAACCCAAGAAAACCCGCTATTGACCCGTGACCCGGTTGGTTCAACCAGTTCACCGAGTCTCGAGTCAAAAAATTAAATTATGATTTTAAAAATAATTATAAGTAAAATCTAAAATTTTAATTATTTAAATCTTTTTTTAACCTTCTCATTCATTATAATTTTAAATCTGTTGATTTTCAATCAACAGATTCAACACACAACCCATCATTTTTGGTAGTTTATTATAATTTTCTATTTTTTTATTTTTTCTCTTTTATTTTGAAAATTCATGGTTATTTGATGTTAAATATATATTGCTAATTGTTAAGTTTTGATTTGTGAACAATGCGAGAATAGGTCAATAAAATAGTTGTAGGATTTTTTCAATGAATTAATAGTATAACTGACGGTTTACAAATTATATATTTTTAGCTAAATTCTCTTTTAAAAATTAACAAGGTTCTAAAAAATGTTGCAATTAGGAAATATGACCGTTGTATAATAAATGTAATAATAATACCGAAACAAAAACAAAATCTCATATTGATTTGCTTAAACTCATATTAATATAACCGTTGTGATTTGTGATATTTATCAATTTCCTTTTTCTTTTAATTAAAAATTTACTCTTTCCTCTCAACACAACGCTTCTTCTTCTCCGTTCTTCCTTTTTTGATGGAGAAATCAAAATTCTCTGTTTCTCACTTCTTCTTCGAAACCCTACAAATCAATGTCCTTAGTTCGTTCTCTCTTGTCGAACCAAAAAGCAAAACCCTCTTCGCCTTCGATTCTCTGATTCATCGTCGGTGTAAAGCTTCTACCTTTATAGATTTCATCGTTGGTGTAAAGCTTCTACCTTTATAGATTTCCTCTGGTTGATTTGTTGTTGTGTGATTCGGTTTGATGATCATAGAATGCTGAGGCTTGAGACTTGGTGGTGGCGATCCAGGCTTTGGTTCCTCTTCTTCTGGTTCGTCTTTGGGAACTAATCTAACCTCTGCTTCGTTCTCATGATGGTGCTCTTGCTTCCTCTTTTCCCTTTCAAGGTACAGCTCTATCTCGTCTTGTTCCTCTGTCTGGATATGGATATGGTCTTGTTGTTGATCTCTCTTGTGTCTTAGAAGTTGAAGTTTTATCCTTTTGCCTTTTGGAATTACAATTCGTTTGATTTAGTTTTTTGAGTTGTATTGTGGTTTGGTTGCTTCCCCCGACCACATAGAATCAAAATTGAATCTCAATGTATATATGATTTTGATGGAAGCCAATGTGTGATAGATACTCTTTAGTTCATCTATCATCAATCATATTGGTCTTATTACTCTCTTTGGTTTTGTAATGAGTATTACAAATCCATTGATCTGTAGACAAGGAAGTTTCAGACCTTTTGATAGGAGAAGGTATGCTTGTTCTTGGTGAGCTATTAGTTTCTACTTCTCTGTTGTTAATCTCTTGTTTTTGATTTTAGTTATTAGTATATATATATATATTGTCTTTGCTGGTCTTTGATGTTGTTCTCTATTGTTTTATTTTAATTACTACTGAGCTCATGTTCCTTCTCGACCACATATAGAATTATTATTACCTGTCTGCAACATACAGAACTGAATCTCATAGGTGTGTGTGTATATGCATATATACAATTTGATTGATGCAAATGCAAAACCATTTTGTCTACTTTATAAGTTCATCATCAAACATGTTACAGCCTTGTGATGATTCACGTATTACATATGTCATTCATCTCTTTGTTTTGTACTGAGTGTTATGCTTTTGTGTATTCTAGTCTTAGATAATGATCTCCATCGATCCTCTGTTTTCTTCAGTGATTAGAGAGTAGGAGAATGTTTATAAGAGGAGTTTATATATATATTGAAGAGAGGAACAGAGGTATTATATTAGCAGGTTCGTGATAGTTGTCTTTAGTTTTATCAAAATAATTGAGTTTTTGACGATTATGAAATCGCTGATTGGTTTGTTTTTGTATTTACGTGTAGCAAAATTCAGAAACGACCACAGACTGATGAGTCGCCTCATCCCTCAGGATACTTAAATATCACAGGTATATTTCCCCTAGATTTCAACTTTTCTAACTTAAAAAAAACAAAAAAAATAAAGAACAATTGAGTTTGATATACTAAAACTATACATAAAGAAAAAATGATTTTATGTTTTTCATTTCTATTTTCCTGATTTACAACTAATTATCAAGGTTTTAAAATTAAATTTCAAGCAAAAATAGTTTTAATTTTAATAAATAAATATGATTTTTTTTGGTTGAATCTAAGTGTTAAATTTTAATACGTTGAAAACAAACCGGGCCGAGCATCCAGTCCCTTTGTGGTCCGTCAGTGGTGTATAAGTTCAACATGCTATCACGTATTGTAAAAAATTTAACGCTTAGGTTTAAGGTTTTTTATAATTTAAGTAAAGTTATAACTTTTAAGTAAATTTTTGATTTTGAAAACATACTAATTTTGAAAAGTTATAACATACTAATTTTTTTTTATTTTTAAAGAATCTAAGTGTTAAGTTTAAATATGTTGAAAACAAACCGGACCTAGCATCGAACTCTTTAATACTAATTTGTGTTATTCAATGAGAGTTGTTGATGTTTTCCAAGCTACATACTTATATAATTATTTATTGGCGCCGCATGATATTTTAAGTTTACAGGATATTTCCATGTTTTCCAAGCCCAACGTAACGTCTTTTATAAGATCATGTTCAATAATTAGAAAGTTATTCCCATGAAAATAAAACAAATAAACTTAGAGAACATAACTGATTCAAAAGGTGAAGTAAGTTTAGACAAAGCTGTAGGAATTATTTATCTTGCTTTCTAAATAAGCACTACAGGAACATAAAAGAAAAATTATATGATGATGGATAACATGAAACACAAAGATTAGTATTAAAATATAAATTTTTAATCATGATAGAAGCTAACCTAATCGTTTTTCTCTCTATGGAATTATGGAGGCTGAATACAAACGGTAGGGTTTGAAGTAAGGAGTTGTATTTTCGACGGACTTTTTTACGTTTGGTTTAAAATCGAAATCTTGAAAATTCTAAAAATATCGGTTTAAACCAACAAAGCCGGCTTAAAAAGTTTTCGATCTTAAAAGTTTTCGATCTTAAACATAAAAGTCGGCTTTGAATATCAAAAATTAAAACAAAAGAAAGTGCCGTGGGCGAGAAATCAGCTGAACCACTTGATTGCTCAGTTTAAAGGAGCTGTGGACAATTCAAAGACAAGCTTGGTTTTGGTTCAGGTTGCTCAGCTCTTCTTCTGCCTATAGTGCCTAGCTAGAACAGTCCCAATGTATAATTCAGCTTTTCATAATCAGAAACTCAATGAATGAATAGAATCGCCTACTATGTAATATAAATTGGTTCATTACCAGTTTGGTTAAAAAAAACATAAATTGCTCCAAGATTCTCATATACCTTATTTTGAAGTTAAAGTGAGCAGCACGACACAAAAGCCATCTAAATTTTAGATGCAACACCCAAACCCTATGATCACTTCGCCACAAATTTGAACCTACATGAAACGACTTGATCATTAATTAGTTACATGTTATTTTTGTGTTAATTTTACACATGTTCTGCATTTGTATCTCATTTTATAGAATGCGTTTAGATACAATGTTGTGTTACTCAATATTATATAATACAAAAACAGGAATTTTTTAACAAACTGGATGATGCATATGATCCAAAAAGAAACTTTTAGAGGACATGAGCATTGATAAAATAGCAAATAGTAAAAGCGACCAGTACAATATTTTTATTGGAAATACAATGTAAAAGAAAAAGCCGACAAAGAGGAAAAAAACCATGTTCAATTTGAACAGTTCCCAGCAAAATCGCAGGAGCTCATAACTTAGTCTATATAACATGAAATTTATGTTTCTGATAAGAAAATTAAATTTACAAAGATTGAATTTCTTGTCTGTTTCTCATACGTTAAAATTGAATACATGATATAGATTTCGCGATTAGGGTTTCTCTGTAGTCGAGTTTACTGATTTTCCTTATCATACGATGTTGGACACGGGCTTCAGTAAGAGAAGGCCCACCTTCACGGCCCAATAAGTATCAAATGATAAGTAGCTCGACGTAGGCTCGCCAAGGTGGTTCCGGCCCATTACCGAGATGCAGAGAAGATCAAGGAAGAAGTTGAGAATGAAGCGGAAGACGGAGTGCAAAGATCTCGTAGGAAGTTGTAATAGCTAGAGCTTATAAATAAGGGCGGATTGCCTAACTTGTAATTCATTCATTCTCTTGTAAGCAAAACATCTATAAAGTTATAATAGCAAATCCATTTCTGGAACTGATCTCGATATTTTTGATTGTCTAAATCGGAGAAACTAGCCTTTGTCCCATAAATCCTTCATTCTGTTCGTTTTAGATCATTTGGTGGTTTCTTGCACCCACATACGACTATCGAAAAATGCGATGTGATGCCACCGGTTTAGGATGAACATGTGTTTCTGCAACTAAAATTATGTAAAAAGCCGACAATTCCCAACTTGAAGAATAAAATTTAACAAAATTTATAACTATGATTATGCGAATATTTTTTTAAATATATTCTTCGATTAAACAACTCAAAAATTTGATGTGAATGCTCTTGCATCTTCCTTTTTTCTTTCTTTTTTTATAATGTGAATGATAGAGCATCAAATCTTTTTTTTTTGTTATTGATGTGCATGATCATATAGGACATAGGAGCATCTTGTAGTTAGAACAAAGTGAGAAACTAATCCCACGTTTATATTTTGTGACTTGAAAATATAGTTTATATAGGAAGATAGTAATATCATTCATCACTTGACTTGTATTTGTTTTGGATTTTACAATTTGCCAACCCTCACCAACCAAAGGACCTACCAATACCATTGTACCCCTATCTTATTTCTTCTTCATCTATCTATCTTGCTACCAAAAGAAGAAAAAAACTTATATATCTTGCTTCAAAGCATGCTCTTTGAGATGCTTATCTTCATTATATAAACAAACCTCTTCTCTCTTTGTGTGATCTTGGACTGAACTCAAGACTCCTTTGGTAATTTATTTTTTCTTACTTTCCTTTTCTGTCTCTCCATATTTACCATAAAGCTCATCTTAGCCTTTTATAGTAACTTCTCACAATGATAACCAAACTGTTTTGCTAGCTACTATCATAGAGTTGTTTTCTGCACTTACAAACCAACATCATCTTCTTGTTCTTCTAAAACCATTGACAGATCTCGATCTCATATAAATCCAAAATCTTCAAATTTTGATCTTATCTCTTTGATTTCGTTTTCTTCAACCCTTCATGCTACTTTTCAATCTTTCTCAAAGTAGAAGCTTTGTTGTTGTTGTTGTTCCATCATGTGTTATATAAACCAGTGAATCTTGAATCTCCTTATAGGTAACTAAAGATGGAGAACAGTCACATGGAAAGTGAACTCCAAACTCAAATGGTAATTTATTTATTTGTCTTTCTAAAATCAAATCTTTGATATTTCTTTTTTCTCTCATTTTATACAAACTAAACTTTTGTTTGTAGAATATCTCTATAAATAATTGTCAATATTTTTAGTTATTTTTTTCTTCTTTTTAGCAAAAAGACGAAGAAGAAAAAATTTCAAAAATATCAATCAGTTTGTAACGTCAAGTCACAATCAAAATACGTGTCTAAAAGTATTTTTTCGACCACAAGTTTTCTAAATAGGGATGAAGAATTGTGAACTCTCTCGACATCTTTTCTTAGTTTCTTCTTTGTCAACATTGTCGGTTACAATTTTACAATCAAGTTTCTTTTTTCTTGAAGTTGAATTTTAATCTCTTGTCATGTGGGTTCATATGAGTTTACTATACCATTAGAATCAATTCCAATACTAATCATAAGAATCGAATAAGATTAGGAATGCTTTAATATTGGGAATATTTATATATTAAACCAATTGATGATACTATACATCCACCAAGTGGAATTTTCAATAGTGTGACTTTTAAAAAAGTATTTATAATTAAATTAAAAGATATATATATATATATATATATATATATATATATATATATATACACACACACTTATATAGTTATTAATGAATCAAATTCATATGAAAAATCATTAGTGAATATGAGAATAAAATGAGCTCAAACTAGTTACTATTGAGGCAAAATAGAATAATAGAGGGCACAAAATTTTAGACTACCACTTTGTACCATAATCATTTTGAGACTATAAAATAAATAGGTGGGAATAGCATACTATATAATCTTTATTCAAAAATTAGCTTTCTATTTTTTAAAATAAAATAAAATAATATAATATATTGATTTTAGAGGTTTTCGTATAAATATTTATTCTAACGTTTGCGATTAACATTTGCAAGATATAAAATATACAAATTCTTATAAATCTATATAACATTTTTCATTCATTCCATAATAATCATTTGTGGAAAAAAAATACAGTAATGCTAATACTTAAACAAAAAACTGATATATTTTATTATTTTGATATGATGCAATGTACTTTTTTAATAATAAATATTTAATTTAAATAATTATCATAATTTTCTTGAATTCTCAAGTTACTAAATCATTATTGTCATATGGAAACCGAACTTCAAACTCAAATGGTAGAAGTAATGATATCTTAAAGAACATGAAAACATTTTGGTACTAATTCAAGACTTACATGTACTTGTTATTATGATTTTTTTTTTGTAGGTTGGAAATGAGAGACTTCCTCAAGTAACTTGGCAAAGGAAGTTGAATAGCAAAGTGAAGAACCCTTCTGAGTTCAAGATGAGTATAAAAGATTATCTTCATCTGGTAGGTACATTTTGTTTTATAGTTTTGCTATATCAAGATGACAAAAAGATTGCATTCAGATGATTGTTGGATTATAAAAATTTGTGTGGCTTTTCTGAAGTTTCCAATAGGCTACAGATTGTGGCGTTACACTAAAGAACAAGCAGTTAAAGGAAGAGTAAGTTGCTTTTATATGCATTCACAAAAAACATTTGTGCTTTAGTACCAAAACTCTGAAACTTACATTTTCGATTAGGCTTCGATGTACGATATGTTCAAGAAGCGACATATAAGAGGCGACCATGGCGTCCCATTAGGTGGAATTGGGTATGTGTACTATAAACAAAGAAGAATAGTTTTCATATAAGCAACATGTTGATCTTTCTATTAGAAATGTTGTTAACTACCACACAAAACCGCGCAGAGGAGGAAGCATCGGAAGGAGCTACAAAGGTGAGTTTCAGCAGTTTAAGTTCTTCCCTAATGTTTGTGAAGAAGCTCCAATCCTTACAAACCAGTTCTCTGTAAGTATACATCTCTTATTTCTGACACTTGACAGTCATAAAAGATGCATACTTCTTGATAACATTTTGGTAATGATTAGGTCTTTGTTTCGAGACCCGGTGATGTGAGTTACTCAACTGTGCTATGTCCAACAAAGCCAGAATCTTTAAAGTGAGACACTTTATAGCTTTCCGAGGATCATTTCAAACACAAACTTTGTTGCTTATTATAACTTATGGTTATCAATGCAGTGGTAAAACAGAGGATTTAGGAATAGAATCATGGGATTGGAACATGAAAGGGGACAAATCTATGTATCATGCTCTGTATCCAAGGTCTTGGACCGTTTACAACGGTATAAAAATGGTCTAATCATGGTTCATTATAGATCAAAATGTTAAAGATTCATGATTGCTAAAGGTTAGTGTAAAATGTCTTGACTTTGGAGAACAGAGCCTGACCCTGAACTCCGAATCGTTTCTCGTCAAGTTTCCCCCTTTATACCGCAAAATTATAAGGAAAGCAGTCTTCCGGTATCGGTTTTCGACTTTACGGTAAGAATATTCCGAGAAGAAGTTCTTTTTCATGATTCTATCTCAAGACATTATCATATCAGGTGTACCATTTTGGGTAATGTTTCACAGATGAGTAACCTTGGAAAAGAAGAAACAACAGTTACTTTGCTCTTTACTTGGGAGGTAAACTAATCTGTAACCTCAAACAAAATGTTATCTTTTTGTTTCATATCTTTGAATTTTTCAAGACCATTCTTGTCTGTGTGCTTTCTTAGAACTCAGTGGGAGGAGCTTCTGGGTTAACTGGAGAACACTTCAACTCAACAGTAATGTAAGTATCTACATCTCAATGTATATCGCCACAACTTCAGTTCTCTGGTTCTAACACAAGATACTGATTTGTTTTGTGATACATCAGGGAAAGCAATGGAGTACATGCAATAGCCTTACATCACAAGTAAACTTCTTTTACTTGAGCCTCAAGTGACTAACAACTCCTCTGTTTTAGTCATTTGAAGCGGGGTTTTTTGCCGGTTTCCGGAAATTTCTTCCGTCGATATATTACGAATTTGATGTAATAAAATTGCAGGACGGCGAATGGACACCCGCCAGTTACTTACTCCATTGCAGCGCGAGAAACAGAGGATGTTCATGTCTCTGAGTGTCCATGCTTCTTAGTTTCTGGTCATTCTCCTAAAGAGATCACAGCAAAAGATATGTGGGATGAGATTAAAAAGGTTTGATCTATTTATTCTCTTCTTCCACAGCCTTCTTGCATATATATTCAAAGAAAGGTCTTGACTGTTTCTGAACTCTCTTTTAGAACAAATCATTCGACGGGTTAAACAGCGAGCCAGGCTCCCGTTCGAGACCTGGAACATCCATTGGAGCAGCCATATCTGCTAAAGTGAAGGTTCCTCCAGGATGTGACCGTACTGTCACATTTTCACTCTCATGGGACTGTCCTGAGGTGCGGTTCAATGAAAAGACTTACCACAGGTGCGACCTATTCATTCAACTTTTTGCATTAATATACTTAAAATTTTAATATTCACATAATCTGAACCCTTATACTTTACAGACGATACACAAAGTTCTATGGCAATTTAGGCGACGCAGCAGTGAAAATGGCTCGAGACGCACTTCTAAGTACGCGTTGAATTAGCTTTTGTATTCGGTTTATTCTTCGGTTATACTAGCAAAAAGTCTCATATGATGTTTCTTTTTCTTGGAACACAAGGTTATGTTGATTGGGAGTTTCAGATTGAAGCATGGCAAAGCCCTATTCTTTCAGACACTACACTTCCTGATTGGTAAAACTCTATTTAATCCCGAAGCTCTTCTTCTACTCCGCAATCGATAACCGATGAATATTTCAGGTACCGAGTTACTCTATTCAACGAATTATACTATTTTAACTCTGGAGGAACTATCTGGACAGGTAATATAGTTTATTACAAACAAAAAGCTCTAAATTTCTTTGAGAATTTCATCATTCTCTCTGTTGTTTTTTTGTTACTATTTATAGATGGCTTGCCTGCCAAGGAAAGCATAGAAAGAAGCAAGATTTTAAATACAGAACAGAACAAGATTGTCTTAGACCTATTCGAAAAGATCAATGCGGTTTGTGAGCAGATTCATTCTCCTCAGACCTTAAAGGAAGAAGAGAACATTGGGCAATTCATCTACCTTGAAGGAGTTGAGTATCGAATGTACAACACGTATGATGTTCACTTCTACTCTTCATTTGCACTTCTCAGTCTCTTCCCTAAGCTAGCACTCAGCGTCCAAAGAGACTTTGCAGCAACAGTTCTGTTTCAAGATCACACCAAGAAACAGATCATGAGCTACGGCGAGTGGGTTCCAAGAAAACTTCTTGGATCTGTTCCTCATGATATTGGACTAAACGATCCGTGGCATGAACTAAACGAATATAACTTCTTCAACACGGATCGTTGGAAAGACTTGAACGCCAAGTTTGTTCTTCAAGTCTACAGAGACGTGGTTGCCACGGGTGATCAGAGTTTTGCGAAGGCGGTTTGGCCGTCTGTTTACACGGCAGTAGCTTACTTAGATCAGTTCGATAAGGACGAGGACGGGATGATTGAGAATGAAGGTTTTCCGGATCAGACATATGATGCTTGGAGTGTTACAGGGGTTAGTGCTTATTGTGGTGGTCTCTGGGTTGCTGCTCTTCAAGCTGCTTCTGCGCTTGCTAGTATTGTTGGTGAAAACACTGTTGCAATTTACTTCAATGCAAAGTATGAAAAGGCAAAACGCGTTTACGAGAAGCTATGGAACGGTTCTTACTTCAATTATGACGATAGCGGTAGCGGTTCTAGCTCCTCGATTCTTGCTGATCAGTTGGCTGGACAATGGTAAGACTAAGACTCAACCGTTGCTTTTGCATTTCGCAGTTCTTTTAGCAATGATACTGAAGTAGTGGTTTTTTGTGTGTGTTATATAGGTATGCGAGAGCGTGTGGATTGAAGCCGATAACGAAAGATGAATGGATAAAGAAAGCACTTGAGACGATCTACGAGTTCAATGTGATGAAAGTGAGGGGCGGGACGCGTGGAGCAGTGAACGGGATGTCTCCAGATGGAAAAGTGGATACAAATTCATTGGTTTCAAAGGAGGTTTGGGCTGGGACTACTTACTCTGTTGCAGCTTGTATGATTCAAGAAGGGCAAAGAGACAAAGGGTTCAAGACAGCAAGTGGAATCTACGAGGCTGTTTGGTCCGATCGTGGTATCAGGTATAAAGAAATAAGCTCGCTTACTGTATCACTAGACAAACACAAGAGTTACAAAATCTTAGTTTTTGGGATTTGTGTGTTGGTGCAGTTGCTCGTTTCAGACACCAGAAGCGTGGAACATGAATGATGAATACAGGTCTCTTTGTTATATGAGACCTCTTGCTATATGGGCTATACAATGGGGATTGACACGAACAGGATCGGTTGAAGCAGATAAGCTAAAGTTAGTGGAGGGAAAAGAAGAAGAGAGTGATACGTTGTCAAGACAACACAAAGGATTCAAAGATGTGGCTCATTTTGTGAAAATATTACCAACGAGCAATGAACATAGAAGCCGTCTCCAAGACATGTACGAGGCCGTCCTCAAAACACTCCGCTTATAGCCTAGACACCTCAAACCGATTCAACGTCCTGGATGCAATAAATTTCTATCATATGATACTTATCTACTGTACATCAACGTTCTTGTAAATGAGGAACAAAATCCAACACTAAAACACAGATGATAAGGTCACAAGTCATGTTATTATATCTGGTTTTGGAAAGACAAAATCTTTTGAAACATGACCAACGAAAATAAATATAACAGCTTAACTATCAGCGACAGCTCAACAACTAAAGGTTAACAGAGATTACAATGAAGCATTGAAGGTGAAGGAATCAGAGACTAACAAGATCAACCTTTTCATAAGAAAAGAGTCTTAGACTCCAGTTGCATAAGTGCAGCAGGTCTAGGACCTTTGCAATATTTTCTCATTCTCTTAACGTGGAGCTGCGTAAACCTGGCTTGCATCATACTGGTTCACTTGTGTAGTCCCAGGAGCACTCGCATATCCTGCAGGTTGAGCTGCAGACTGTTGCTCATATCCTGCTTGAGTAGGTGCTGCTTGTGAATAGGCTGCTTGGGTTCCCGGTGCTGCACCATATCCGTAGTTAGGATCTTGAGAGCTTGTGCTGTAACCATAGTTTCCACTGTTTTGGGTCGGAGCAGTACCATAAGCAGGCTGTGATGATGGATATGAACTATATCCACTGGTTGGAGCTACTTGCCCACCATATCCAGCTGCTGCAGCCTGCTGTGCACCAGGCTGGTCATGAGTGGAAGAAGTTGGCTGAACATTTTGCTGCTGGTAAGCTTGACCAGTTGCAGGTGTTTGCGTACCATTGTTGTAACCGTCAGATGGAGCCGAGCTATAGGAAGGGTATGTTTGCTGTTGCCCTGGCCCACCGCTTGACGTGTAACCATATTGTTGTTGTTGTGGAGCCATGTTGGTACTGCCATATAATGGTGGTGCTGCTGCTGCTGGAGTTGCACCTTGGTAAGGAACATCACCAGAAGAAGTTGCTGCCGCAGGCCGTGGAGGACCATATCCTTGCTGGACTGGCCCTTGTTGCATCCCATAAGGCCTACCACCAGGTTGCTGCATTTGCGAATAGCCTGGCTGAGCACCACCCGCTGGTTGGTATGAGCCTCCATAAGGAGGCTGGATCGGAGGATTATTGTCATACTTGGGCTGTTCATACATCTGCCCATAAGTCTGCTGATGACCGGTCTGGGAGTAAGGACCAGCATGTCCATACTCTGGGCCATGACTCTGACCATAACCATAGCTTACTTGGGAAGGAGGGGGACCACCCAAGGCAGGAGAAGGTGCATGGCCAGAAGGAGGTGGAACTGGACCAGAGGTTTGAGCTCCTTGTCTACCATAATAATCGTACGGACCAGAAGGTGGAGGTCTCTGGTCCCAGTCAGCACCATATCCACCTCTAGGGGGCATATGTTGGGGAGGATAACCACCGTAACTGGGAGAATTGTAATGTGAACCTTGTGATAAATACGGTCCACGGTGATGGTAATCATAGGGCATTGAGTGCGGAGCATGAGGACCTCGTGAACCCCATTGAGGTGGACCACCTGGCCCTCGGGGTCGGTAGGCCATCTGATTATAACCACCAGAATAAGGTGATGGCCTTGCACTCTACAAACAAAAAAAAAACGATAAAACTTCTCATCAAATACAACAAAGATGGGATAACATTTCATACAATGCTATTATCAAAACATGGTTCTATTAGGACAAATCAGATGAAAAATTGTAGATATTAAACAAAAGTAATCAAAGAACATAGCAAGACAGCAAACAAGATGGTTTTCATAATGGGAGTCCGGTGCAAATGACAATCAGAAGCACATACAGTGACTCAAAAATGCAGTGACAGCTGTAATCTGACAAAATATGCCAAACTAATAAATATTTCGAGTGAGCAGAAACTTTTTGCCTCAGTTTGGCACCATAGAATAATTGGAACTGCAGTACTTGAAACAAATAAAATTAGATCATCATGTCATGTTAAAGCAACTTCCTCATTACACTCTCCCCTAAGCCATTCCATGCAAGTTCAGGCATATCTTATGCAATTTTGTTACACTAGATTGCAAATGGAGTAACAAATCTCCCAATCTCAAGGTAAACACTAGGTGTGCATTGGCCACAATATTCCAGATAAAGCTTTCTTCAAGGACATTAATCATGGAAGAGCAAACGTCTAATAAATGAAGATCTGGCGCTAGATTTACACTAAAGTAATCAGTAATGGTCCTGGAGTTGTTAAGTCTCAAACCTGTAAGCCTGAATAACAATGCCTGATACCTTCTTCTGCAGACATCAGTCTACTGAAAACCAACGAGGCAATGCTGACCCCAAGTGAACGGGTAATAGCGAAATCTGCATTTTTAAAGCCAACACCAATTCGAGATCGGCACCTTCAATATTTAAAAAATCATGGCATCCGATAGAGGATAGAACATATGATGTTCTTAACAGGTTGAAGTGAGCATTATGGTAACACTTGGCATATGTTTGTTTTTTCAAGTTAACCTTATTATGGCAGCATATCATTTATTCCTTAAGGGGTGTGTGCAAAGAATATGCAGCTACATAATGACCCTAGGAGATGGTATTGTTAAGAGCGCTTAATACACTACTGCATACGTTTTCCATACGTACTAAAAGATGAGTGTAACATTGATTTCATAGCATAACATTGATTCCCAAGAAAGCAACATAAATCTGAGAAGAATTCACCATCTTAAACAGCACAACATAAAAAAAAATACTAAACCAGATTATGGAAAAACTTTCAGCAAGCGCACATATCTATAAGCTCAAACAAAGTGTTTGCATAGTAAACTTGAAGACAACAACATGTACCACCATATCATAATATAACATCCCAACCAGATAGACCATGCACCAAAGACGAAATGAAACTTAGGTAGCATTCAGAAAATGAACAAATTTCAGGCACATGAAAGCAACAAACCAAACTCGAGAATGAATGAAAACACATGCATCGTTGAGAGCAATAGTATCAGAAACAAACCTGATACATAACGTCTTTTATCATGTTGGTTGCTATGTCAATCTGCCTCTTATCTCCAGAAATACGGACAGTCCTCTCCTTAACCCCATCACCTTCTGCGTGTTGAGGTATTAACTACACAGAAAAAGAATAAATCAGTTTCCGCATGGATTGAGTCATGGTAAAAACGTGTCCAAACATCACATGTAAGTAACCACCTGAATGCGTGCTCCCGACCTTGTCTGCATGTTCTTGATTGTCTCCCCACCTCGGCCAATAATCTGACCAACCTGTTAGTTGAAGCCGGATTAGGTATGATTAAGTTGAAGCAAGAAAGAATAAAATAGGGAATACCTTATCATTCGGAACTTTAATTTCTATCTGTTCTGGAATCCCTATCGCATGAGTACCAGGATGTCCCCTCGCAACTAGGGCAGATGAACCTCCTGCTTCAGCCTTAGGTAGTAGCAGAAACCAATTATCTTACAGTGAAAAAGATGTGTAGTGAAGAAGCCAAAACTGATATAAAAAGCCAACTGCTAACCTCTGATATGACTGCATTGATAAGCTTCTCGGCATTTTCAATGCATACAACAGTTCCAATTATGTCAACTGGTCTAACTGAAGAGTTAGGATCAGCTTCCGAATCCCTCAAAATTTGGATTTTAGCACCCGAGTTAAACTGAAGATTCCGTATAGTCTCCCCACCTTTACCAATCAACACACCTACCTGCAAAGCAATTTGATAGCAGGTCAGGGACAAATTTACAGTATACTAACAGACTAGTCAGAACAGAAACCAAACCATATTCACCTTTGAACTTGGGACTTCTATCCTGCGAGTCGTAGACTGAGTATCACCATCCTTCTGAGAATTATCCACTACCTTATTTTCTTCTTCACCATCCACTACCTTATTTTCTTCTTCACCATCCACTACCTTATTTTCTTCTTCACCAATCTCCTTCTGTGAACTGCTATCATTCAATTCCGTACTCTTTTCATCAACCTCTTTCTGAGATTCACCACCATTAGTATCTTTACATCCTTTTACAGTCTTTTCATCTGCTGGCAGATCTACACCACAAGTCTTATTTTCAGACTCATCAATGTGATCTTGAACTTCCTCAACAACAGGTAAAGACTCTTGTTTCTCATCCTTGTGTGCAATTGGTTTCTCAGTTTCCTCTTCCTTGGGTTCTTGAACCTGTTCTTCTTCCTCTTTAGCCTCCACTAATGAACCATTCTCTTGTGTTTTCCCATTATCTACAACGAAAAAAATGCGAACATCAGTATCATTTACCCCTACGAAAGATCAAAACTTTAACCCTAGAAAAAAAAACCCAGTTTACAAGAATCGGAAAATACCTAAACCATCATCATCTTCGATCTTGGCTCGCTTAGCCTGAGAAGAATCAGAAGCTGGGTTGCTACCATCTAAAACATCTCCATTAGAGCCATTATCCGAGGCGGCATGTTGCTCAGGCTCAATCTCGTCGAGCTTGCGCTTGAGATCGACCGGTGTCGCAGAGATAGCAACAACCTCTTCATCCGCCATCTGTTGAACGGGAACTCCGATGTATCTGGGGAAAAAGGTGAGAACTTTAGGGTTTGGGGAAGAAGAAGAGAAGTATCTCTGTGGTGTGGACGAACAACTGAGATTTAGTTTTGTGGCTCGGCCGAGAGAGAATCTTATAAAGTTTGGGCTTTTTGGGCTTTATAATGGGCTACCCATAAGAAGCAGTTCCCAAAATATGTAAAGTTCATGATGTTTCTCATTGTCATCTCATATACAACCAGTTTTGATGTTGTTGTGGTCCTTGTAGAGTGCTTATACTCAAATTTTGTAGTATCAACAAGAAATTTATATGCAAAACTAGGATACATCGGCGGTATGGTGGTATTATCGCCTTCGGATATGCTGTATAGCGGTTTTATCGGCTTCATCAAATTGCGAGAACTGTCCTCTGTCTGACTGTCTCTATAAGAGATTGCAAGTTCAACATTTTTAGTGTTCAATTCTACTTTTGTGGATATGTTATCTATCTTTTTGATGCGTTTGTTTCATCTTGTTCATGTTTTCCAAGCTTTGAACCACGATGAGACCATACCATAGCTTGTGATATTATTAGATCAAACAAATAAAAACACCTACCAACTGGGACTTTTCAGTCTCTCTGGACATAATACATAGATCGCTACAGTTATCACTATGTGTTCGTCTCCCACAGCAGGGACGAGACTCACAAAAGCGATTTCATAAGATAATAACCTAGTTATAGAGTTACGACAGAAACACATTTGTATTCTTTTGATACATAGCATAATGAGACATTGTACTATGGATTCTCCATTGTGTAAAGGTATTGTAGAAATCGGCTTCTCATCTAAGGCTCAAAACTGGCCATGCACCAGGAGATGGTAGAGCAGGGCGGATCACAGGGACCCTTCTTACCTCTGTGAACACTTCATTGAGTCGGGCTGCCTGACTCATAACACGCGACGCCTTCTGCACAGATCATAAACAACCCAAGACGTGATAATGATAGAAGGAAACAACACCAAACGAGTAACATGCAAAAGAGGCATATTAACTACAAAATCAAATCTAAGCATTTTCTGTTCTTGATTCAAACAATCACAAGAGCATATTAACTACAAAATCTATTCTTGGGTTAAGTCAGGACAGGACAATCATTGAACTAAACTAAACCTAAAATTCTACAGCTCATGTCAGACCAACCGCATCAAAGCAACATAAAGAGTAAAGCTTCCTCCTAAAACGAATCATTCTAGACTAAGCTTACCAACTTCAAGAAAAATGATACAACACAAGGCTGAAAAGTAGATATAGTGTACCTTATCGTCAATAGTAACTCTAAGATGGAACCTTTGAGCTTTCTTTTTGATATTATACAATCTGCGTCCCAAGAGAACCAAACCCATCACAGCTGCAGCCATAGAGACAGACCAAACTGGACCAATCTTAAACACAGAGTACTTGAGAAGCACAAATGGCATCTTCCACCAAACAGTCTCTCTATTTTTACCTTCATCACCAGATCTCACAGGTCCAACTTCTACAACATTCCCCTCAATTTCTTCAGTAGAAGCAACTCCACTATCAGAAACAATCTCATCTTCACCACTCACAATCCCAGAATCTCCAGAAACCAATTCATTTCCCACTGAACCAGACCAAGACTTTCCCAAATCTTCAATAGGCTCTTCAACACCGACTTCGAGATCATCTGATACGTAGTGAGATACAGTTCCACCAGTTAACTCAGCAGCAGCATCGTTCTCGATGTGCTTCTCATTTCCAGCTTCAGAACCACTCAGCCTAACCTCACCATCACCCAAAGTTCCAGTTTTTGAATCATAAATCCCTAATTCATTTCTAACACAATCATCCAAACCCAAATCAACACCAACCTCTACCGGATTCGAATCACCCGATTCAACTTCACTGTGGCTCATATTTACGAGACTATCAGCAGAGAAATGATCAGAGAGAATCATACCGTCATTGATTACACTCGAACTCATCTCAGATATGATCGAATCAGTTGATTCTGAATCAGACCCATGAAGCATCTCCCAATCGAGTAACCCATCATCATCCATGGTGAATCGAATCGGACGATTTCAGAAAACCCTAATGAAAAAAAACCCCAAATTTTAATTTTTTTTTTCTGGAAAAGGATCACAAAAATAGAGCGGTTGATGTGATGATCAAAGAGAAAGGTTCTTATCCACTTTGAGAAAGTAATTACGTGGACATATCTAATTGGCTACGTGTCAATCGCTATGTTCAGCTAAATCACACGACGGGTTGGATAGTGCGGATCAAGAAAATATTTTAGATGATTAGAATGAGAAAAATAAATGAAGTTTAAGTTAGCGGAATAAAATTGAACGTAAAATGTACTAGACATAGTTAAAGATAAAGTTAAATATATTTTCGGTGTATAATTATTTTGGATATTTGTTTAAAAAGAGTCGCGTGTTTAAAACCGACTATTCTTTTAAAATGAGATATTAATCAAAAATATTTATCAAACGAGGTATAATTTGGACAACCACAAAAATTCATGTAGTTTTCTCCTAAAATTAAAAAAAAAATGTTAGCTTCTACTTTGGGATCATTTTTTGTTAATAAATTTTTATGTTAAACAGTTATTCCAGTTTTCATGTTCTTTTTTAGACTCCAAGTGCTTCAAATAATAATTATTATAAAATATATATTAGTCAATGAAACAATTTGTTGATTTTAAATTCTTAAACAAATTAACAACGAAAAATGTGGACCATACTTAAATAGCCTTATTTCTGAATTCTAATGTTGGTGTTCATTCCAATTGAAAAAAAATATATTAAGTCTTGTTTTTCTTTTAAAACAAAAGACCCAAATTACACTTGGCATTTTATTAAAACCCCAATTATTTAAAACTAATTAAAATAAAATTGTAATTTCTTTTTTCTTGTAAACTTTTATTGTATATTACTTGTACATATACTCGTATATCAATGCTCAAGAACTTCTACAATCAACATTGTTAATAATTTTATGAGTTATTTCACCTATATTTACTAAGAATCCAAAAACCAAATATTTGAGGTTTTCACCTTTTTGAAACAAGATTTCATCTAAAATTTATATTACATAGAAATATTATAATATGCATTAAATCATCAACATCTTAGGGATGATACATAATAAAATTATTGTGAGATTATAATTGAGGGGTGTCGATTTTTCCCTTGTTTTAAGTTTCAACATCTAGCCATTTGTTGTCTAGTTCATTTCCTCTATCAAATCGTATAAACCTTCACTGAGAAATATCCAGAACCAAGATTTGCGAGAAAGATATATACAATAGCTTAGGGAAGCTTACTCATCTATTGATGTTCTTCTTTCCTTTCTATGTGTCTCTTGTTTTCTATTACTACTAGGATTTACCCCGTGGTACACCACGGGTCCATAGTTTAATATATTTCTTTGGTTGATTATTTTCGTAGTTGGTTTATATAGTTTAGTTTTATACGTGTTTATTTCATTTAATTTAATATAATTTTATGAATTTTTATTATAAGTAGATTCATAGATATATTTGGTAAGCCCGTGGTACAACGCGGGACGATTTTGTTGTAAATAAAAAATTATATTTTAACTTAGCCCGTAAAAGATTTTAAATATAGACAATCCGCAGAAAAATATAATCATATTTATGTAAACTCAAACCCGTTCAATCATATTTATGTAGAATATTATTATATTTTAAATATTTATAGAGTTAAAATATTAATAATACTTTTAATTTCTGTAGAGTTTAAATATTTTTCATTATTTTAATATTCTATAAAACTTAAATAAAATATCATAATTTTCAGCTTTTAAAAGTTTTAATATTTATCATATTATAAACTTGTTAAAAAATTAAAATTTATAATATTCTGAAACTTTTTTTTTAAATTTCTTAAATAAAGAACCGGATTAAACTAATAAATTTTTTAATTTGGATACTTGATCAAAATAAAAGTTCATGCTCATTTGTAGTTGTAAACATATTAGTCTGTACATATATATTTTCCTTTATTGATTGAATTAAATACCTCCGTTTTCAAAAATTTAAATTGCAAAATGTGTGGAAAAAATTTTTTATTTTTATTTTAAATATATTTTATGTAATAATATAAATTTTAAACAAATAAGATTATATAAATATATTGGAGAGAAATTCGGTTTATTAGTGAGAGATTTTAAGGAAACTTTTTGATGTAATAAATATTTGTTTCCAATTTTGCGATTTGATTGTGATTTAATTATAAAATTTACTTTTAAGTTTTGTTATTTATTCAAATGGAAGGGTTTGATTATGAAAATACTACAAAATAAAAGGTTATAAGCCAAAATAGATTTTGGTACTGTACTTCAAAAATGTTAAAATAGATACATCCTTTCTATGCGTACGACTCTCTTGTTTTCTATAGGGTGATGATAAAATTCACTAATCCTAGTTCACGTAAAAGTATACTTGATTAGTAGTACTTGGTAGGTTATACACCTGACCATACATACACTTAAAAACAAAAGTGGAAGCCATTGAGAGTATAACTTATCCTAATCCAAGCTAGCGACATTGTTTGACAAATCCAGTACCTCAATTATAATCTTGAACATAATAATCTCATAAAATTTTATATTACATAAAAATCGACACCCCTCAATTATAATCTCATAATATTTATAAACCCAACAAATACATATGTTTCATTACGAACACACAAACGTTTGTTTTCTTGAAAACTGTTTGGATGTGATTAGAGAAGAAAAACAGCAGAAGCTGTCCTATAAAGATTTAGTAAAACAGTTGTGGAAAAAACAGAGCTAAAACCATAGAAAGATTAATAAGAATTCATCAATCGAAGTCATGAAACCCAATATTCTTGAATCAAACAGAACTACCACAAATCTTTAAACTAGACCACAAGTCGTGAAAGACATGAAAATCTTGTAGTTAACTCTAGAGACGAAAAAGGATTCGTGACAGGCGAAAAACAGAACTCAGCTAAGGATTCAAGAAACGTGTAAGAACATCCTTTTCTGCAGCAGCAACCGTTTCATGTGACATATGTGTTTTGGGCGTTCCATTTTTGGGCTCCAATTGTTTCTTCGTTTGTTGCTGAACTTTTGGCACTTGCTTGTGGAGTTTCTTGAGCTGCAGATGAAGAAGAAGAAGCGCCATTGGTGCTTTTGTTTGTTGCTCTATTTTGTTGTTGTTGTTGTTGAGGAGATGATGAGTAGTTGACTGGTTTCATAGTTTGGGTTGCAATGAAATCCTGACCACAGTTTTGACAATGTATGGTCTTGTAATGACAATAAGGCGCTAGATATTGACATTGTGTCTTGCATCTATTGCACTTTGCCCAAAACCACATATTATCTTTCACTTGCTCAAATGAATCAGTACGAGCAGGGGCATGCTTATAACTCCTAGCTTTAGGGCTCGGATACACATAGTCTCTAACATTTTGATGCTCGTAAGAAGATGCTGGCTTGTGTGGTTTTGGTGGTTTTGGTGGTTTTGGCTTATCACTTGTAGCCCTAGCACTCGTATCCACGCCTCCTCTAGCATCTTGATTCACATTGTGTGGTGGGTTTGGTGGTTTCTTTGCTTTTTTCAACTTCCTCTTTTGATCATAAGCACTTCTCTTGACCTTATCAGATAACAAACACCAAGCTTGTGAAACAAGTTTAAACGCACCTTCTGCGCCTTTAAACCTATTTTTATCAGGATGAAGCAAAAGAGCCAACTTCTTGTACTGTCTCTTCAACGCATCATCATCAGCCAAAGGTTCTACACCGAGAACTCTGTACCAGTCAGCTTCTCCGTTTTATGCAAAGATATAAACATCAATCATCATCAACACTTGTTTCAAACCAACAAGATCAGGATACAAAACCTGAGCTTTGTTAACAAATTTCTTGGCTCCAAAGTAATCATTCTCTGAAACTTTCCTCTCAGCTATATCCATTGCCCTTCTAGCTTCATCCTTGTTACATTCCATGTTGGGAGACACAGCGAGACAAAGGCCTTGAAGGGTAACACTAATAAGCGGAGCGGTTTTGTAAAAAATGGAAAAAATTAAACTACACAATCACACAATTAATCAAAAAAGGAAAACCGCATTTATTTTTTTGTTACTTCTACTTAATGAAAAAAACACACTTTCCATTTATTTTTAACTAATGAAATAATATAAGTAAACAATATAATAGGGTTATGTTAAGGGAAAATTCCATAAAAATTCCCCATCTAATTTTAATTTGGAAGTTTAATACCCAATGTTATTTGATTGGAATTAAAATGCATGGTTTATTAAATTTTGGTCTATTAATACATTAAGTATATAAAAATTGTCGAATCGAATAAACCGTTTAATCGGATTGACGGAATCACTAAACCGAGGTTGACGAAATTACTAATCCCTAAACACACGGGTAATTTGGGGTTATCCAAAGACTGCATTGTCCTTTGCTATTATCCCAAATCGAATTGGGATCGATAAACCCTAAGTTTAGTGTAATTCCATTAACCCCGGTTTAGTGATTCCGTCAATCCGATTTCTGTTTGTTAAGCGGTTTCTTCGATTCGACAATTTTTATATACTTGATGTATTAATAGACAACAAATTTATAAACCATGCATTTTTTTTTCCAACCAAATAACTTTGGGTATTAAACTTCCAAATTAAAATTAGATGGGGAATTTTTATGGAATTTTCCCGTTATGTTAATGATTGTCTAAATTTGTATAAAACTAAGGTTTGTGATAATCAATAAATTATTTAAGTAAAAAAAATGTAACAAATAATAATATATTATAAATAACAAAATAACTAATAAAATTCACATATGATATAAATAGTAAAATATGATAATTTTCAAATATTTTTTTGTTATTTATAAATTATTATCATAATATCATTATCAGGGGATTAATTAAGAAACATCTATTCTTCCGGGTTTTGAATATAAACTTGATCAAACTTAAAGGTCTTAATTGTTAAAATGTCTTTCTTCTTCCTTTTGACAAAAAAACCTAAAATCTCTCCTCTGTACTCTCTCTTCTTTCTCCGTTCCACACTTCCAAATTCTCCATGGATCGTTCTGTGAATCTCCTGGATTTAGCTTTAGGGTTTAACGAGCAGCAGCTACCTAACCAATCGCCACTAAATGGGAAAGTAGTACTAATCGAAGACTGTGTAGAGACGAGTGGTTCGTTTGTGCTTCACCAGCTGATGAAACGTGTTTTCTCTCCTTCTTCCTCTGACGCTCTTATCTTTCTCGCTTTTGCTCGCCCTTTCTCTCATTATGATCGAATCTTGCGTAAACTGGTAAAAGTTTCAATCTTTTTGCTGTTTTTGTCTCCACTTTTTCATATAAGGATTCTCAGTGTCCTACCATTGTTTACAGGGATGTAATTTAGCTACCCATAAGACGAATAATAGATTGGTGTTCTTTGACATGCTCATGATTAAGTGCTCAGGTGAGACTTTTCAGGTAAACGAATCTGATTAGAAGAAGTAGAGTTTAGCTAATGCTTAATGTCACATCAGTAGGTTACAAGAGCTTTAGTTAGTATTTGGTAAAGTATACTTAGAGTGGTTGGAAGTGCATTGGCCTTGAAGAGTAGGGGATCTCTAGAACAAATCTCCTAACTTTTGGGTTCATTTTAGTGTTCTTCATTGTTTGATCATTGGTTCTTCTTTCAAAGCAAGTGATTTCTGCAAATCAGATTCTGAACTAGTAGGCTGTATTGTGAACACAAATTATGAGTTTTGGTGGGTTAGCTTAGATTCTACCTCAAGATTTTACTTTTATTATCAAACAGATTTGTTTTCATCGACTTGTAGTGGGCGTTTCATTCAGTTTTCATCTTTAAACCTTGTTGGTGAGGTGCCGATATAACTCTGTTTTTCTTTGACTGAAATCTTTTTAGTAGATGGGGATAAAATGGAAGACAATGTGAGTGCAGTTGCGAAACTATTTCGGGAGATACAAGATGCCGTTCGAAAGCTACAGAGTGTAACAAGTGGTAACATAACCGTTATGGTGGATGATATGTCTCTTCTGGAAATTGCTACTACTGGCAGCAATTCAGATCACGTCTTGGACTTCTTACACTACTGCCACACCTTAAGTTCTGAAAGCGTAAGCTAGAGGCTCTAACCCCTTCTGAAGTACATTATAGGGTTTTTCTTCTTTTTGAGTTCTTTTAACAGGCAATCTTTGTTTTTCTCTGAAGACAGAATTGTTCATTGGTCATTCTCAATCATGAAGATATATACGCAAGCATGGAGAGACCTGCATATTTGCTACAGATGGTATGCCTAGCAGATGTTGTGATAAAGGCAGAGCCTTTGGCCTCTGGTTTAGCAAATGATGTACATGGCCAAGTAAGTAATCACAATACTCTTTTTCGTCAAATCATTAATTGAACCTTTTGTTTGATATTCATGGTGTCTTAATGATTTTACTGGCTTATTGCATTTGCAGTTGACTGTTCTGAACAAGGGGATAAGCAACTCAGGTCGAGGTAACTCGAGGAACAAATTGCAGAACTTTCAATTCAGGATCAAGGAAAACGGTATCGACTATTTCTATCCTGGTTGCAGAAGCTGATGATTAGAGACCCTTTTTGAGAGATATTTAATGGTGTGGTAGTGAAATGCATCAAGAAGTTTTGTTTTCTTCTCATGAGGAAGCTACTACATTTAGGTTGAAAACATTCTGTACTCTGCTCAACATTTTATCTGGTTGTCAGTTTATTACATTACTTCGCTATGAGTCAAACACCCTATTACTTGGTGTGTCTCCCATGATCAATCCCAGACTTACAAAAGTGATAGATAAAATTGTAAACTACTTTGCATAGGAATGACACCAAAACATATATATATATGTTCTATCGGTACATAAGATACATTTTATGATCGGCTTCTCATCTAAGGCTCAAAACTGGCCATGCGCCAAGAGATGGCAGAGCAGGGCGGATCACAGGGACTCTTACCTCTGTTAACATTTCATTGAGTCTAGCTGCCTGATTCATCACCTGGGACACCTTCTGCATAGATTATAAACAACCCAACATAGCCCTGCGTGAATGAGCTGAGGGACATATAAACCTCAGCATCTGGTGTGAAGTATTTTGTACTATTGCAGTAAAAATATTAGCTACAACGTATAATATTAGCCTTGGGAATAGTACCGACCCGAACCGAGATTTTCGGTTTTTGGTTCGGTTTCGGTTAACCAGAGATAACCGATCGGAAGGATTAATAAATTCCAGTCGGTTACCGGTTCAGGTCTATTCAGTTCGGCCTAACCGATCGGTTATCCGAATTTATCCGAATTACCCGTATTACCCAAAATTAACCAAAATAACTGACCCGATATAACCGAATTATCCGTATTACTCGAAATTAACCAAAATAACCGATCCGATATAACCAAATTACCCGAAATTAACCAAAATTGCCCTACTTAACCGAGATTTATGATCCGATTTTACTAATCTAACCGAGAATCTTAAACATTCGGTTCATTTTGGTAAGCAAAAAAAAATAACTGAAAAACCCGATACCCAAACCGATCCAACCCATTATGTAATTCGGTTATTTCCGGAAACGTTTTTCAAATTTCGAACTACCCGAGTACCCAAATTACCCGACCCGTATTATCCGACCCGGCCTAGTATATATACTTAAGTTACGCCAGGAGCATCGAACAAAACCAAACTTGAAATTCTACAGCTCAAGCAACCAAGTCCTCCATGATAAAACGAAGGTTTCTTGGACCTTTTAGTAATTTTTTTAATTTAACGGGTCTTTTCATTAATAATATACTAGAAGAGGGTTTTAAACAAAATATACACAGGGGTGTATTTTAGTAATAATAAGAGTTTGTGATAGAACCAGAGAAAACAGTCGTCGTTTGGCTAACTAAACAACAACAGAGCCGTGATTGGTTTCGACATTCCAATCTCTCCCACCCGAGATCTCCGGCTAGTTTCCTCCACCGACCGGCCTCCCGGTATGTTGAAATCGAACCACCGCTTAGATCAATTTATCCTTTACACATCTTTGAATCAAAGATACGATTTACTACTCTGTGATAGTTGTTTGTTCATAAATCGTATCTCTCTCTCTCTGAATACTACAATTTGATTTGGTTTAATGTTTGTGTTTGTGATTTGTGTCAGTTCATGTTGAAGACTCTCTATCTCTTTTCCTTTTGTGTTGAAGACTCATAACTTGTGGGTTTTCAGGTGCTTTTAGGTATTTGTCTTTGGCCATGGACAAAGAAATTACAAAGATTGAAACAGTAGAGATCAAAGTGTTGTTATTCGCTAGAGCACGCGACCTCACCGGTGTGCCTGATTTAACACTGAAGATGCCGTCAGGTAGTACAACAAAGAAATGTATGGATGAGTTGGTGCTTAAGTTCCCGAGCTTGGAAGAGGTTCGTAGCTGTGTGGTTCTAGCTTTGAACGAGGAATATACAACCGATTCCGCGGTCGTTCAACACAGAGATGAGTTAGCTATCATACCTCCGATAAGTGGCGGCTAAATGCATTTGCAATTGTATAAATCCCTAAATTCAGGGCTTGTACTTTCTTTGGTAATAATCAAACATGTAACAGTTAAGGTACTTTTGTCATAAACTTCACAGAAATATCTGTCTTTATAACAAGAGAAAGGTTACATCAGTTATACAAATCTTCCAGTTTCATGTGTTTCTCATTCCTTGGATCATTACAATCACATTCTAACAAAAAGAAAAGAGAGTGTGTTATCACTAGTTCAGTAGCGACGTGGTCTTGAATGGTTGGTACTGTCTAGCGCTGAACCAAGAGCCCTTCTACTATACTCCAAACTGGCTCCATTTGATACTCCTGGTGGAGGTGGTTCTGCAAAAATGCACAAAAATAAAAAACAGACTGAAGTACACAACATTAACCTAATACTCAGAAAGACAATATAGAATAAACCGAAGGTTCTTGATATCATAATCTGTGTTGAATTTAGCACAGAAGCAGCTAATTATCATATCTCCAGCACGAAAGCTAATGATCACTATTATATAAAGCAAACATATCTAAGAACATTAAGTCCTATAGAAAGACAAATAGATTGAGCAGCAGGTTTCTCGATTTAGTCATCTGCGTTAAAAATTTGGCAAAGAACCAGCAAAACTCTAATAACATCAACTCTCATACTCCTAAAGACAATTTAGAATGAACCGAAGGTTCTTGATCTTATAATCTGTGTTGAACTCGGAAAAGAAGCAGCTAATTCTCATAACTCCACCAGTCAAACTAGTGAAATAGCCATTAAGATTAACCAAACAGACCAAATTACATTAAGTCTTATACTTCAAGACAAATAGATTGCGCAAGAAGGTTCTTGATTTAGTCATCTATGTTGAATTTGGCAAAGAAGCATCTAAATTCTCATAACTTATCAGCCAAACTAACCATACATCGAGACAGCCATCTACATTTCGCCTTACTTGTGCCAATGCTTTAAAACGAAAGCTATCGAATCTCTCTATTTGTTCCACGAATCAAGAAAGATAAATAAACCAAAAAGAAACAAACCTTGTGTGTAATCCAAAGGCAGAGGCGAAGGCGGAGAAATCAATGACGACGAAAACCTCTCCGAATGATGATGATAAACACCTCTATCCGAATGCTCGAAAGCCAAAGGCTGAGGCCTCATTCTATGACCCGAATTCGCAGAGTTCGACTGTAACTTATCCTGTCCAGATATCTAAAATCCACAACAAAATCAAGAACCACAATAAACATTCATCTCATTATCATTTCCAAAAGTCAAAAGACAGAGAGAACAACGACTCACAGCAAACTTCAAAGTTCGACTGTAGAGAGAAACAAGACCAGAGAAAAGCTTAACAGCGTAATCGGCGATTTCTTCAGTCTCGTACTCAGCGAAAGCAAAGCCTTTGGGTTTATCAGTTTCTTTATCACGAGGTATGTGTAGATCGATTACTCTACCAGCTTGAATCATTATATCATACAAAACCCTATCGCTTACTCTCTCGTCTACGTTCCCTGTTCATTTCCTTCGAATTCAATCGGTGGTTTCTGAGAAATTTTCAACAGTGAGATCAAAATTAGAGATGTTGGAAGAGACACTTACCTATGTAGACGGTGCAATTGGAATTTCCACCGGACATTGAAGCTGATTTTGTTGATCAGATCAATGGAAACCCTAAAGCTCAGGAAGAAGATGAATGAAGAAGAAGAAGAAGCTTCGAGAGGGTTGAAATTGTAATTTGCCCAACTATCCTTGTCTATTGGGGTAAATCAGTAAAATGACTCTTTAACCCTCTAGAGTTTAATAGTGTTCGAGAATAATAACATATACTTTTTTTTGGTATTTCAATTTATTTTTGTATAGTTTTGTTTTTTTTTTTGTCAAAAATCAAAAGTATAATATTTATGAAAATAAATATCAAAATTGCCAACGTTATTTATTTTGAATAAAACCGTCAAATCCACGAATTAGCCCTCAAAATAAATAATGTTAGTAATTTTTACGAAATTTACATAGTTTAAAAATTACGAAAACTCGTTTATGTGATGTTTGATTTGATGTTCCGTTCGAAACCGATGATCTAACGTCATTTTTATTAGTCACCAAGAAATTATATATGCAATTTAGAGTTTAGGATTATTAGCAAAGAAATGTAGATATTAATGATGAATCATCACAAATCACCTTCTCAACTTATATGAAAATGAAACTCAGAATCTATCACTACTTACACAGATTCGAATATATAACATTTACATAAATAAACTGTTAAAATATGACTTAACAACTAACAACCATTGTTTTGGAGTTAGGATACAAATCCTAATTATCTAAGGCCAAATATATCCAAACATATTCAAGTTAGCATTAAACTACACTAAACACAGATTCAAGTAAACAAAGTCTAACTACACATAACAAGCAATCGAATCAAGTCACAACTTCAAAACATAAACCACACAAGCTACATAATCAAGTTAGAAGTAGATCACACTTACACAATACAGAGTCAATTATATAAAAATCATGCGACAACTAACAAATCAATCCATCACTTCGAAGAATAATCCACAAATCAACCAATGCCTACAAGTAGATTCAATGCATAGATTTTACAACAATATGAATCCAAGTCATGAGTTTGAATCATAGACTATGCACTAACCCAGTAGATTCAAGAAAAAGGTTCAAACCAAAAGGCTTATGCAACAAACAAAAGGATTGGCTTCAAAGCATAATTTCTGAGCTAATAGTTCATAAACAATACTAAAGAAGTAAAATAACTTCATCTAAATTGTAACTTATCTGAGAGGGTTGCCTTTAATCTAATAAATTCTTCATTTTCACCAGTTTCGTGTTTTGATTCCTAAATTCCTATCTTGTTGAGTCTTAGTTGACCAACAAAATTTAAACTACGAGACATTGAGTACAGTCAGACCAAGCAATCATTGGGTAATCAAATATACTCACTTTAGACCCTTGCATTCCTAACATAGAAGCAATTACATCTAAGAACAAATTTCTATGGTTGAAATCTGTTCATCTTCAAGAATTTGGAAATATGTATTCATATTATGTACATATATGCTATTTTTACTTTTAGCTTAATTTATATCTAAACCGATCATGTACCTGAGGGTTTAGGTGATCTTATTTTAAATTTTGTAGAGATAGAGCTTTGATAAGCACTCATACGCTCCTCTATATATACACAACACAAGAAAGGGGATAACGGCTATATCAACCACTTGCCGTTTTGGAAGATAAAAACGTTGTGATGTTTGATATGCGTGTGTTGTTGATTTTTTTGGAGGTCATAATAATCAATACAATAAAATTATATTGAATAATTATTATATTGAACAATCAATGACATGAAGTGTTAAAAGGAAAAAAACTTGTTGACATAATTTTTTTTTTATTGGAATTTATTTGCCCTTTTTATAATGAAAAATAAATCATCTAAATAAATTCTTTTTTGCAGATCAAATATTCCGAAACTCCAAGATTTTTCTCTTATACTCCTCCTTAATTAAGTGTCGATTCTCAAATTTTATCTTGTATCAAAATGGTATTCTATATTGTTTTCTTTTTCTTATGATTATTAGTGTTAAGTTTAGTAATGATGTGGTTATGTAAGTTTAACTCACATTTCGAACAAAAGCTAGCTTTTCATAAAAAAAAACATATGTCACTTTTTTTTTTGGCGATAAAAAAACATATGTCACTTATAGGATTTTATTTACATATTAGCAATTATGCAATGTATTACTGAAATAGATATTGTTTTCTGTTCAGTAATAAGAAAAATCAAGAAAAGACGAAAACTACAAGGTATATAGAAAGAAAATTAAGCCAAAAAAAAATATCAACCTATTTGTGTGTTAGAAATTCTAACTTAATTAGAATAGAATTAACAAAGAGATAGAGACAAAAAAAAAAAGAATAGACTTATCAAAGAGATAATTTAATAAAAATAGAGGTTTAAGAGAAATCGACAAAAGTTCACAACATTTGTAACCAAAGAAGTTCCTTTATATATTTTGTTACAGCTACAAATATATAACAACTGTCTATAAAGTTAAGTGTACGCGAACGAATAATCAGCATATTCATAAAATAATTAGTTAAAAACGGAAAACTATTTATTTACAAATAAAAAAACATCAAATTTTTTACTATGAAAAGGAAAAATACTGAACAATAATCAAACTGTTACAAAAGTCAAGGAAACATACATAATGTCTATAATACATAATGCATTAGAAACTGAGATGGAGTCCATTATCAATAGTCTATAATACATAATGTCTCTTTGATACTCTTTTAATTTATTTCCTTTTATTTACAATACAAAAATTCCGAATTAAACATACAAACAAATATAAACATTATTTATTTTATGATTTTGATCAAACACTAAAAATACTATTCTATGATTGGTAACCCAAACAAAATAAAAAAAACGTTTACAAAAGTAACTTCCAAATCAAACGATCTCGAAGAACAAACAAGATAATCTTCTTTTTTCGAATTACTCTTTTAACATTTCTCATGGATTCGATCAGAATCAGAATTTCACACCGGTATCTCTTAACTTGGCTGTTACGTCAACGCATTGAGGAGGACGTACGCTTCTTTTACATATGCAATAGTGATTACGTATCTTCAAATCTTGATTACATATGCATCGATTAACATTAGCAATAACACTTGCAGGATACATTCTTGAACCTACAAGTTCAGTCTTACACGTAGTTGTTACGTTTGCTCCACATTTCCCATCTGCATAAAGTCCTATCATACATGATGCACGAGGTCCTGTTTTCAAATCAAAAATAAATTGTAGATATAACGTTTTTGGTTAAACTATTGCTAATGCTTGTTATATATAAATAGAAAGATAGAAATAATTATTGATATACCTTGGAATAAGAGACTACTGTTGGCATGGTTTATAACGAGAAAGAAAAGAAAACAAGAAACTGTTAAGGAAGTAGCATGACTCATGATTCTTTTTAAAGTTTTTTTTGAAAATATTTTGTACATTACTTGCAAGATACGTTATGTTTCTTTCCTTTTTAAATATACTTAATACGAACTAATAATAGTTTTTTTTTTAATTTAAGTATAGAAAACTGAAAAATAGAAAAGGAAATGTGACGCTATTAAAAAATAAAATTAAAAGAGAGGAAACGTGGAAGGGTAAAGAAAAGATTGGTGGTTTATATTTTAGATAAATTCGTCTTTCACTTATTTATTTGAACCTTTTTTTTGTATGAATTGATGGTATTTAGTAGTGTTTTGAAAAAATTAAACTCGCTAAACGGATGGTGATCCAATGCCTAATGCCTAAAATGCTTAATCATAATTTAAAATTTTTTAATGGTTTAGCCATTTATATTATAAAACATTATAAATATAATATCATAGATATGTAACGTAGAAAAAAAAATTATCCATTAAAAAATAAGAAGAGTTAGAAATAATATCCATATATATTTATATAAGTTTATTCATATAAAGCCATATATAATGTTAATTACTATGTATATGAAATTCAAACACATAACTTTCAATCTATGTAGTTAACTAGGAAAATTACACTTAAGCAAAAAAAAAAAATGATAATTGATTAATGATTTTGTAGGATTGTAGAGACGCACTTTAGAGCGCCTAGGAGCTCTTAAAATCGCGTTATATAAATCTCAATATATATATATATATATATATATATATATATATATATATATATATACTATATACTAATAAATAAATAAAGTAATAGTATATATATAT